GCCAAAAAATCATTGTTTTTTTTTTTTTGGGCTTTCTCTCGGATTTTGGGCTGGAAAATCTTGCCGGTATTTGGCAACCCATGGGAGTCGTGTGCTTCGATGTGAGTGGTTGAAAGAAGACATTCAAGTGGTTTATCTAATCACATACAAGGATTTTTTTTTTTTACAAGGCCCTGCCTTCTGAAATCCAACTTTGACACCCCCCTCATATACATTTTTTTACATCAATTTATTGATATTGAAGCCTTTACAGCTAGCTAAGAAACACATAGCAGCTACTCATATTGTATATTTTCTGTCCGTCCTGTATGTGCGCTGCAACATGGAATTTTCCCCACTCTGGGATGAATAAAGGTTTTCTCATCATATCTTTTCTTATCTCATCTATGATATTGATCTAAAAACAACTCCAAGTCTGTTTTTTTATTTGGAACAATCTTGGAACATGGTTTGAAGCTCAAAAAAAAGAAGTACATTTTGCATCCCGCATCTCCTTTAAAGTTGTCGTCCTGTGATTTTCTCCCCTGATCCCGATCTCCGCTACCTGTCTCTCACCCCGCAGCTTTAGTGGCTTGTTATTTTCCTTGGCCGCGCTGACCGTCTGTGTCCGTATAATGTTCTTGCCATGCCACGCGCTGCACAGTCACTCACACGGATAGCATTACATAACACTCCAGGCTCCTCTGTGCAAGTCTGGGAAGTCCGAACTCCCGACGCTAGCTCCAATCATGATTCCAGATTAGCTGAGGGCCTGCGACATAGGAATTCCTCTTATGTCTCTAATATGGTAAGAATATCCTTTGATTAGTTTCCAATAAGATCATGGAAATTGTCCCATCAATAGAGAATCATCACTTCAGCATCAAAGCGCAATGGAATTTGGATTTGGAATAAGTGCTTGGTTTATAATTTGGGCGCCGTGATCCAAACTGCTCCAATGTGTCGAGCAGACGGAGAGATGTATGAACTATGAGGCTATATATAAACCTATAGCCAGTATTTACATTACAGAGGATTTCCTTTTCCTCCATCTCCCTCTAAGTCTGTTCCTTCATAAAAAAAAAAGCTGTACATCTTTTTTGGCATGAGTTAAGCTGTCCTCAGAGGATGTACCATTTGGTGAGATGCTTTAAAGCTGGGATACCTAACTTTCAAACCACAATAATGTCCATCTATCAAGTGGCTTGCTTTGGTTCTATTACGCATTTTCACATGAATATTTTGGTCTCTGTCACATCTTCAGATCAGCCTTTTCAGACAGAAAGTGTAAAAGAGAGGACCACACTCACTCAGCCAATCAGCTCTCAGCCCACAGAGTCAAATAGTGACTCACCGGGCTCTTTATTACAAATCTGCAAGCAATAAAATGTTATGAAATTAGAAAAGACTGCATGTTGTGGTCGGATTTGTCCACAACATTTTACAAGACTCTTTCTGTTGGGACAAACAACCCCAGCTTTAGACACCATATATCTCTAGGCATAATACAAGTTTTCATTGCTAGACTCGACCTTAAGAACATGCATTATACAATTAAATTCAACTCAATTCATTCTATTCTTGTGTAGCCCTAAATCACAACACAGATCAGAGAATCAGTTCAAACAAAAGAAATGCAATGATAGAAAACACACAGAGCCATTGGTCCATAAATGTTGTTGAATGTCGAGTGTCCTGGATCATCACCACTGTCCTTTGACCCTCCTACATTGGTTAGGAAAAATAAAAAAGCCTAGTGGGAAAAAGTGAGAAACCACATGGTGACCCGCTTTGAGAGAGGGATCCGCTCCCACGGATGGATGGGCTTTAGATCCAGGACTCCAGGCAACAGAGCGAGGACCGAGGCCACAAGATGCAGGACTGAGACTGAGACCATGCGATGCAGGAGGAGGAGCCAAGTATGACCAGCCAAGTTGAATACATTCACATGAAAAGCTCTTTCTTGCAATAATGCTAAATATGCAAAGATTTAGAAAAGACAGCATAATGTGTCCTAATCTCTTTAAAAAGATGCTGTAAAATGTATTATTATATGACTTGGACCGTACGCGCGCTCTGATTGGCTGATTACCGGTCTGATATTTTCCCATCTCAGACCGTTACCATGACAATTGATCCGAACTGCGCGTATCACATTTGATATGTCTCCTCGGACCGTTACCATGACAATCTGTCCACAGCCCGTATCACAATTGATTTCTTTCCTGAGTTTCCTCGGTAAAAAAGAAATAATGGGCGACAACTGGGAGCATTCTCCCAGTGAATTCTATTATCCGGACGAGTTTGACGAGCCAGAGGAAGAAATTACAGAAAATAACGAAGAAAAAATAACTAACAGACAAGATGAGATTGACAACTTCGTTGCAGACCAGAAAGCTAAAAACATGATTAGGAAAACCAAGTCGGAGATCGATATTTGCATAAATTAAAAATAGTCATTTATTAAATATCAGACCGCGGCCTTAATGTACAAAAAGGCCAAGGTCTGATATTTCCCCATACAGACCTCGCGCTCGGTTAATAAGCCGTTATTATTTATGAAACCAAAATAGTTGGACACACCAGCCTTAATTAGAGCTGCACAAGCTGAGAAGAAATGTGAATGTTTCTTTTGCAGCCATATAGGAAGTTCAGTAATAACAAAAATCTCAATACCGTACTGCTTTTCTACTCCTCAAAATACTAGTTTGATTAAAACAACTAGAGCTTGTATTTATGTCTGAGTTCATAGTGCTTCAGTCCGACAGAAGTTGTAGAATTCAAATGATGAATATATTCAGATTCTGTAGACATCACACAAACAGAAAGAAGAAGGCGTGGAGTGAGTCATTCATCTGTCCTCTGTGTAAAGAGACACTTCCTTTTCTGTATAATTACTAACAATAGTTTCCATTTGCATTTGTGAGTCAGACTGTTGAATAAAATATGTTTTGGAAACTCTTTAGGCTTAGTTTAAACAGTAAAAATATATAATGCATAGATTTTATGTAGCGCTTCACATGGCATTATTTTTTCACTGGGTACGGGTGGTGATAAACTCCGATTGTAGCCTCAACTAACCTGGGACTAGTCGGGGCGGGTCCCACTTGGCCAAAATGACGTGCGCTGACATGCTTGCAATACCACCCCGGGCCGATGGGGGTGGACCCGGAATAAGAATTAGCCAATGCTGACATATAGCATTGGCAGACCTCTCGAAAACGTCTTTACAGGATGGTCCAAAAGTTGGCTCTTGGCCCAAAGCTCCGTTCCGTGTGTCAATGCTGAGGGGGGTGGATTTTTTTGGAACAGTCTGGTTTACTCGCTGTGAATTTTTTAAGTCACTCAGTTAAATGAATGGGGCTCGTGCCGGCTGACGCATGCGCAGATGCGTTGTTTCACATTTTCCAGCCCCCGCGGCCATTTTGAATCACTCTATGAGAGCCCAATTTTTGGCCCATTAGTTAGAACAGCGGAGATAGGCGTGACTCTGTCCGTGAATATATACAGTCTATGCCTGGGACACACTGACAGAAGCGAGGCAACCAGTACCAACCATTCACACACACACCAGAGTCATTCTAGGCAGTGTCTTGCCTAAGGACACAACAACAGTTTGGCACTTTGCAGCCGCAGCCGCCCCACTGTGGCACCTGAACTTCTCAGAGATGTCTCCTATCTAAGCTTTAGACGTCTGACGGGATTTGACTTTCACATGCAGAAAGATTACACCAGTTTACTTGGCTCGCAGTGCAGGATACATGTTCTAATAAATGTTTTGTTTTGATACAGATATGCTGCCTTTAGGCTGTCATGGTCATTACCATAGTGATTATTGTGCGATAACAAATGGATAAAACGATATATGTTGGGCTTTATGATGTATCGTCTGTACATCTTTAAACCTTTGAAAAAATAGGTTGAGAAATATGTTTTCTCTTTTCAATGTAAAACAATGAGGTTTTAGCTGTAGATGGTTCAAACAGTTTATACGGGATCCTCCATTAGTCAATATTACAGTTTATCGCAATCTTTTTCTGAATCTATATATTGTCCATCAAAATTGTGACCGGTCTTATGCAGCACGATAATGTGCAGTTTTTGTGGTCACAGTTAGAAAACCTCAAAAACACTGCAATTAATAACTTTGCAAACAAAACAGGGACTAACGATCAGAAAAACACTTGAATTCGGGTCAATGTTTCTTGATTTGAATTAGTTTTGAAGGTTTGTCAATGGAACAAGTATCTTTTGTTTTGTTGTCGGCAGAAGCATTATTAACACATTCCTAATGATGCAAATATAATTTTGGATAATTTGTTAAAACTATCAAAATGTGTTGCAGATCTCAGGTCTGACTGTAAGCACTTTGGCAACACTTAAGATGACAGACCTCAACACTGTAACTGTAGTAATTATGTTGTATTTACATTACAACTGTGAGTTCACTCTATGTAGAGGTCTGTAATCGAAAGTTTGTATTTAAGCGTTTGTTCATATGTTTCAAATGTTTGCAGTGAGTTGAAAATGCCTTAAAAATATCTTAAATGTGAGGGATTTGTGTCTGAGGTAATTGCTTAATTTGTACGCCTTTTTAAATGGAACTCTTGTTGTTATTTTTCCTGAACAAAATGTATTGTCTTGTTTTGTCTCTAAACTTTTTAAACATACAAAAAAAAAACAGAATATTGGTCAGAAATATTGAAATCACCATAGAAAATTGGGCAAAATTATGCTAAATTTCTAAAAGACAAACATGGTTGTAACGTTTTGGCAGGATTCCTACATACATGTATTTGATTATAATTATGATGATTTTGTTTTAATACTTATCCTGCTAAACATGTCACATTTTACATTATTTCCTGACATTCTATTTCAACCCAATTTCTCTTTCTGCTCTCGGGCTCAGTTTTGTGAAATACTATTTACTTTTGAATCCTCCTGTGGATTGGGTTTTATCGCTCACCCCAAGAGTGTTTTCCGTCACATTTATCACTATTTCCTTCTGTGTTTTGCAGAAGCTGTGAGGGGCAGAATATCAAGTATCGGACCTGTAGTAATGTGGTAAGTCTCGCACGCTCATCTTTATGAAACAGGCGCCAATAGATCCCTGGAGAAGTTCATGTCTTACTTTTAAAACAAGCCCAAAAAGCCACGCGGAGAGGGTGATCCGACATGTGGAGATAATTTAGAAAAACAAGATAAACTTTCATGATTAGAAGATTGCGTTATAAAGGGCGTCAGGTGCAGAATCTATGGTAAATCAATATGCAATTTACAGCCCACTGATGGCTGTGTTGCCGCTTTAAAACCAATGAAGAGATTGGTTTTAAAGAGATTGAAGCCATAGAATCGCAAATGCTTTATGAGTTACACTATCAGATGTTGTCAATGTCAACGTCTGAAAAACTGTTAGTATAATATTTGAATGATACAGTATGAGGCTTATAATCACTACAACAAATGAATAAATATATACATCCAAAGTGTTAATAATATGTTTTTATTATAGTAGAATTAGGAGCTGTGTCATAGTCACCACTTGCGCAATACACTGCAAAAAATGATCTAATATGAGGTAATAATTGCCTGACTTGTTATAGAATTATATACCCCATGAAGGAGGAAACTCAAAGGTCCTTTGTCTGATCAAAAGCGTAAGTTTATTGTTAACGCACAGTGCGGAGGGCCAGCACATCCACTCAAAAGCAGCATGTCCCAGCTCTGGGGGCCAGAGCCCCCAGCTTCCTGTATCCAAGACACACACCAAAGATAGTCACGCCCACAACGGAGCGGAGGGGGCCACCGGTGAGGAGGCGCACAGGAAGCGCCGGCGCCATCCCCTGTGGTGGCAGTGGCATGGGGTGTGAACAGACAGACAATGGTGGAAATGCAGGTCATACAGATGCAAGACGGAAAGACACAAGGGTGTGACAGACAGCAGGGACCTTCACAAAGCTCAGCATGGCGTCAGAAGGTCGTCTGCACTGATAAAAGGCCTTTGACGTCCGTGTATTTGCTGCGGCTGGTTTTATGTAATTACTCCAAAAACTGTCACCACACTCCCCTCTTTTGATAATTCAAAACCATTTTTGCATTAATCAGTTAAATACCAGAGGCATCGTAATCACACCACCTTCAAGCTTGAAACACTTAAATTATTGCTGTCCAAAGTGGACAAGAAAAGACACATGCTTGTCAATAAAAGAAAGAGCACATTATAATAACACAATGGATCCGGACAGCGATAAGAGAAGACAATATTAACATAATAAACACGGTCAGCACGGAAAGTAGTGTCAGTGTGGCCAGCATAACAGTCCAAGGGCCCATTCCGGTCTTAGCCGGGCTACGTTCGGTAGTCTTTTCCGCGGGAATACTCACGAGCAGTGCCGTCTCGCAGTCAGTGGCACCGCTCCCTATGAGCGTGTGTGGAGCGTTAGTGGTCATGGCGATGTTTGGTCTTGGAGCGGCAAGACTCTAATTGCGTTGAAGCCTTGGCCTCAGCACTCGGTTGGGCAGAGTGCTCGGGGTTTGGGGTGTGGAGACCATGGCTTGAGCACGCTCCAGATCGGCCAGGCCCAAAGCTCATTTGATGGGAGACCTCATGACAGCACGCTTCACCATGTGCCTCATCAGGAACTGTAGAGCAGCCCTCATCTCCACCTCCTCCGGACACACGGGAGACGAGACACCAGGGGGGCACTCCAGCAGAGCTCAAATCTGCATTATGGCCAGAGGGAACAAGCTCTGGAGAAATCTTTGGAATGGGCAGCAGCTCTGCATACTTGCTGCAGCTGAGCAGAGCGCTCAGGGCCTTCATGGCTCCCAAGCCTTGGGATCCGGGGGCTGGGGAGTTGGGCAAAAAGGGGGGTCGCCTCGGGAACGCTGGGATTCTCTGGGTGTTGTTGTTGGCCTGCTTCACCGACGGTGGCCGCACGCCGGCCAACTTCTTCAGCGTAGGGAGCCGCGGATGGGCCTGGTCCGTCCGCGCCCTCGGTGTCCTCGTCTATGGCCCTCAGTGGCAGCACCGCACGACAGTGGTTGGCGTGGATCCAAGTTGTCCTCTCCGCGACCTTAACGGCAGTGTCCGTCACCAGGAGGGCGAGGAATGGGCCGAGCCAGCGCTTGGACCGCCAATGCTTTCGTCTCGTTTCCTTCATCAGGACCCAGTCGCCTGCGCAGCCTGTGGCAGGGCGCTCCTGACCTGGGCAGAAATAGAGGACAAAAGTGTATTAATTTCCTTACAATAGGACAGCATGTCGTCATCACACAAAGAGGTGCTTGGCAGATCTCTGTTCGGGGGTCCCGCGCCCAACGTGGGGCTAGCGGCAGAGCTTTGAGTGCCATTCTCTCGCTCGCACGTGCCTCCGCTCCAGGGGGCGTAACTGCAGTGTTTACGTATATCAATGCCCAGAAATTCACCCACTTCCTCAATGACTTTTGCTACAAAGTGACTCACCACCGCGTTGCTTGTGGCGTGTATGCCTGCAAATACTTCAGTCCATTTGGACCAGAGATCCGCCAGACCCAGACAGTATTACTTACCTTGGCATGGTGTGAGTTCAACAAAGTCCCTTTGGACATGTTGAAATGGGCGCAGGGGCGGAGGATGAGCAGCCTGTTGGATACTTTTGGGACTTACCTGGGTTGTGCGCGGGGCATATAGCGCATGTTTGGCTGAATCTCTGTGCAAATGCCGTAAACCCCTTTGTATACCAATTTTGTGTGATTAAATCACACATCATCCCTCCTTTTGAGGCATGGTCTCGACCATGTGCTAAAATTGCAAACTGTCTGAAGAAATGCCGTGGTAGGCACGGTTTGCTGTCTGGTCCCAGCCACACACACCATGCCGTCGTTGAGCCCCATTCCCCTCTCACAGCAGCGTCTCTGCTGGAGTAGAAAATATCAACGTCTTGAGTGAGGTAGTGTGTGTGTGTGTGTGTAGAGGTGCATATGCCGCTGCCTTGTCCGCGCGCCGATTCCCTGCAGAGATGGGATCAGTGGCATTAGTGTGGGCCTGGCATTTGCATACAGCGATCTCTAAGGGCAACATTACAGCTTTCAGCAGACGTTCAACCTGTGTGGAATTAAGAATTGGTTTACCATCAGATTTCATAAAATTGCGGTGTTTCCACAGTGCTTCCCAGTCGTGCACCACAGAGAAACCATAGCGCGTATCACATAATATGTTAACAGTTTTGCCCGCTGCCAGCTCACACGCCCCGGTGGGCGCGACCAGCTCAGCGGTTTGTGTTGAGTGGTAGTGGGGCAAACTACCAGAGTCTATAGTATCAAAATCAGAACACACAGCATAGCCGACTCGGTTCTTCCCAGTGTTGTCACGTGACGCGGCTCCGTCTGTATAAAAAAATCAAGTCAGGATTAGTCAGAGGCACCTCTTTCAGGTCTGGCCTGGGAGTCCATATCTGTTCTATTGTGGCGATACAGCAGTGTTCCTCCCCTTCCTCTGGCGTGGGCAGCAGCGAGGAGGAGTTCAGCTGTGTGCATTCCTTCACCGTAGTTCAAAGAGCACCGTGTTGTACCCCAGCCAACGAGCCGCAGAAAGGCGAGAGGCCCTCTGCTCTAACAGGATCAGGGAAACAGCATGGGGCACAAGCAAAGTTAGTTCAGTGTATCCCACAAGGTCACGTGATGCTAGGGCCGCTTTCTCAGCGGCAGCCACAGCCCGCAGGCAGCGAGGCAACCCTGCTGCCACGGGATCGAGTTTTGCTGAGAAGTAAGCAGTGGGTCTCAGTGGCCCTCCGTGAGACTGCAAAAGTACCGACTGTTCCGTTCATCTCCAGTTGCTTTTCTCCCGGATCGTCCTCAATTCATATTGTGGGCTTTTGTGCCAAAGTGGAGGCTCATTTCCTCCTGATCCATACTACTGTCATCCCTGGAGCAGGGGTAGTTTATCTCTCATCTGAAAAAGAAATATCAGAACACAAAAAATGCCCACTTTCGCTTGTCAATCTTTTTCCAATTGGGCAAAACATAACTGCATTGACAGACGGTGTTTGGCATCAGGGCGGAGGCTGTAGCAAAATACAGACTTAACAAAATGTATGTTTCTAATTTTATACTTCCCTAAATGTGAGTTTACAAACCAAGTTGTCCTTCAACCAACGACAGCTCACTGCGGTTGGACTGTGTCGCTGTCAGGACAAACAGCAGAGGCAGGAACTCCCAATATCTTCAGCGAGGTATTTCATCTCCGAGTACTTTCAGCAGAGTACTTTTCTCAGAGTACTCATCCCAGAGTACTCTCACTTTTACACCTGTTCAATAAAGCTTGTTATCTTTGAATCTCTAGTACTTACACCGTATGCTGTTGACAAAAAAATAATTATTCCATGATCACATTAAAACATTACAGACACATTTGTTATTCCATGATTCCGTTCAGCATTCCTCATTTCACACATCACACTCATATCACAGTCATATCACAGTCACATCACAGTCACATCACAGGCCGATTTCCCACGTTAGTATTTTGGTCCAGTTTGTTAAGGTCAGCGTAGTGTACTTTGACATGACACACAAACATATAACATGCACAAAACATATAACACACACAAACATATAACAACACAGAAGGCCTGTACTTTTAACTTTGTTATATTTTCCATGTCCAATTCCAATTGTCTCATGAGCTATTTCTTATTGTTGCAACTTTCAGAGCCTGTAGAGCTTTAAAAGAGTTTTCCTAAAAAGATCCATTTCCAACTTCAGTGTTTACCACGTGGTCTATACTTCGGGCTTATCACAGATTGTGTCCCCTATATCTCTAATGAGCTCTTGTCACCTAAAAAAATGTTTATTTTCCTTATTTTTTTTCTTTTTCAATAAAGCCAGGTCGGATTCATTAAAAATGTAAATTAGTCTCAAACTTTAATACTTCACCTTTGTTTCACGATAAAATGTTTTTGTTGCTCATTAAGTAGCACAGATAGTGGTGCCTATCTCAATAAACGTACTCCGTTAGCCTATCTTCCCTACACTGCATGAATTTTCAAACTCCAAGTTATTGTCTGGGAACGACCGGAGAGAGCAGCTTAGGTCGTTCGCGTGGTTGACCTCCAAATTTTGTGCGGGCGTCACTATCCACTTGTTGTGGCTAATAACTTAGCAATCTCAGGGTTTGGTGTCAATTTCCAGTGGTAGTTAACTTTTGGGACCGGTGCCTCCTTTTATTTATCTATTTTTAATTGAGTCTGCACATAAGGTCTCGGCCTAGTAGGTTAACCGGGGACAATGGGGAATATAGAAAAGAATGTTTAAGCTGGTTGCCCTGAGAATCAAAACACGTTAGCGGTGACGTAAATTGCTCTTTAGTCGTCTCTCCGACGCTGCTAATTAGAATATGAAGCGGCCGCTCATTTTAGGGGAGACAGAAAGGCTGTCACTTTTAGCACAGAATTTGTTGCCCCGGAGTCATCCAGAATTTTAACTTGTACACCACAGGTTGTTAGCGTATATTACGGGCATGAATTATCTCTAAAAAGTGCCAATTGCAATTTGTTGTTGTTCAAACTTACATGAGCGGTCGCTTTGGTGACGAATGTGAACCCAGGTTTGGTCAGTCGCTCGTGTTTCCTCCGTGCCCGCCTCTGCCGTCCTCTGGCCCCGTGTTAGCTTGAGCGTTCCTCTGCCTTTAACGCCTCCTCCGGTAACAGTCCTTCGACCCATGTCGAGCACACAGTCTTTCCGCCGGGCTGTGGAAGTTTTTCAAAGTCCGCAGGAGGCCCAGGTAGCCCAAAGCGTTAGCATGTGGTCCATGAGGGTTGGTGAATAACCCAAACGTGCCGGTACTTTTGGCTTCTTCTGTTTGCGGTGCGGGAACAACTTTCAGGGGGGTTTCCGCGGGTGCGTTTGGTATATCACGCTGCCCCCTCCGTGGAGAACAGTCACGGGATTTGTAGCAGTTTCTCTCTGTGCTCCAAAGCAGTTGTCGGTGTCTCACATATTTGTTTCCCTCGCTTCTTCTTCTGTGGTTTCCTGAGCGTGTGTCTGTTTCCGCCTCTTCTTCTTCTGCGGTTTGGGCCCACTTCTCGCGGGGTCTCAGCTGGTGCGGGCGCCGCCTGTGGTTGGGGCGTGGGGCTGGTGCTTTGAGGCAGAGGACAGAGCGCGGAGGAAAAGCGCCGACAGACCTGGATAAGGGAGAGGGAAAAGAGACAACAGTAGTCTGCTTCATTTTTTAAAAACCCAACGCCTTGTTTGGGCGCGTACTTATTGTTAGTAGGGGTAGGGTGGGGGTGTGGGGGATGTGTGTGTGTGTGTCCGCCTCTGTGTTCTCCGCTTCGGTGAAGGGCGGAGGAGCTATTGTTTTTACATATTTCTTTCTCTAACCTCTTTTGCCGTGATATTCTTAAAACCAAGTATATTTTTTTCTTCCCTTCTTCTTCTAAATTATCACGCAAGATGCGTAATGACCTGCACCATAGGCAAGCACTTCATAGCTTGCATCTTCTAGATTGTTTTTTACCCATTTTCTCGTACGAACAATGGGCCTAACCCGCTTAGTCTCTCCCTGCTCCTACCCACTTTGGGGCGCTCCATTCCCCCCTCGCTGGTTCAACCAGCGAGCGCGCGTTCTTGAAATGGAGCGGGTCTGGCTGAAGACACTTGGAGAAATTTTCAGGGTCGCCTACAGGACGATACTAACGCGCAGCCGCTAGTTTTCAATCTAGAACAAAAAGCCCCCAAAAAATCCCGCACACAGACTATGCTGTGGCAATGAATGAAATACCCCAAAAATACATAAATAAACAAATCCCCGTGTACACTTAAGTGCTGCCCTGGGCTCGTTACGCAGATGAAAAGACAAGACTCACCAGATTAGGTTCTTTTTGGTCTTGTGTGGCAAAAGGATTCCTTCCGTGCGCGGACGAGCGCGCTCTCCTTTGTCTCCAAAAAGGAACAGAGGCTGGTGATCCAGGTCGGCCAAACAAAGCCGCTCGTCCCCGCCGAAAGTATCCATGCCAAGACATGTCAGCAACGCCAAATTGTTATAGAATTATATACCCCATGAAGGAGGAAACTCAAAGGTCCTTTGTCTGATCAAAAGCGTAAGTTTATTGTTAACGCACAGTGCGGAGGGCCAGCACATCCACTCAAAAGCAGCATGTCCCAGCTCTGGGGGCCAGAGCCCCCAGCTTCCTGTATCCAAGACACACACCAAAGATAGTCACGCCCACAACGGAGCGGAGGGGGCCACCGGTGAGGAGGCGCACAGGAAGCGCCGGCGCCATCCCCTGTGGTGGCAGTGGCATGGGGTGTGAACAGACAGACAATGGTGGAAATGCAGGTCATACAGATGCAAGACGGAAAGACACAAGGGTGTGACAGACAGCAGGGACCTTCACAAAGCTCAGCATGGCGTCAGAAGGTCGTCTGCATTGATAAAAGGCCTTTGACGTCCGTGTATTTGCTGCGGCTGGTTTTATGTAATTACTCCAAAAACTGTCACCACAGACTCAAGTGGTTTAATTACATTTTTCATCACTTTTTGCAGTGTACCGTAATACTTTGCGGACTGGAGAGAGGGGGGGTCATATGCCATCGATCTTGAGAGGTGGTTTGTGGGTAGGGTTCAGAGGCCTTATAGCCTGAGGATACAGATGAAGATGTCAATAGGTTGCGTTCATGTTGTAGGGTTCTATTTCAGTTAAAGGGCCGGTGCCAACACAACTCTATGGGAAAAAAATAATTTTGAGAGCATTTTTCCAAATGTCTTCCGAGATCATTAATTGATGGTGAAAGTTTTTTCTACTGGCCAACATCATGCAAACGATTTTGAATATTGTCACCACTTCTAAATACTTTCATGAGAAGTAATTAGACCATAGTTTATACGTGCTGACAAAGAAGATGTAGAACTTTGTGACAGTTTTTTTCATGTGGATTTACCAAAAAAAATTACAATGAAATTAGCTCTAACGTAAGACTAGAAATCTGACCGTTTACACTTACCATAGTTACCAGAAAATACTGCCCTCCATCACAATTTCAAACTGTAGACTGTTTGTTATTGCGTTCATGTGACGTTATAATATTACGATCGAGCACTCACCAAAAACCAGCGATGTGAACTGCATATTTGAAAGAATATAAACATGTTTTATCTTTTACATACACGCTGGTGAACTGTATTATCTCTCAATTCTTTTCATTTTGTCAAAGATCAAGTGTGGCAGCAGGATTTCTTCCCAACCAAGTCGGAGCACAGCAGACTCCACCCATTTTGTCAAGAGTACAGGTTAAGACCAGTGGGGGCAGGTCTCGGCTCAAAAAGCTCCCACCCCCACTGGTCATATCTGACTCCTTGCCGGTGGTGTTGTACCCGGAAACAGAATTATCAAATTAATTTGTATGCCGTCTTTTATCCTCTTGAAAACGACTTTACAGCCTGGTCCAAAAGTCGGCTCTTGGCCTAACGCTACGTTTCAGATGCAAGGGCCTTGTGGTGATCCTTGCTTTGCGCAAGTGATGTCACCACCGTAAGCTCCGCGCCGCAAGTATACACTAGGCTTTAGGCCGCTACATCCGTTAATATTTACAGTCCATGGTTAAGACTGGACTCACTTGAGAAAATGGGTGGAGTCTGGTTTCCTCCTGCTTGGCTGCAGCCACAGCGATCCTTTCTGGAACTGGTTTGACATCTCTGGTGTATAAACAACTGCAAAATAATGCCTGGTTTTCAACAGTGGCCTCTTCATTTTTTGTGTTGTCCTCAGGATTGCCCTCCGGAGGCTGGTGACTTCCGTGCGCAGCAGTGCTCAGCCCATGCGGATGTTCGATACCAAGGCCGATATCACGAATGGCTCCCGGTGTCCAACGACCCGGAAAACCCCTGTGCGCTCAAGTGCAGGTCCAGAGCATCCGGCCTTGTGGCGGAGCTGGCCCCCAAGGTTCTGGACGGAACTCGCTGTTACACCGAGTCCCTGGACATGTGCATCAGTGGAGCCTGTCAGGTGAGCATATTGCAATTTATTCATGTTTGTATAGCCCTAAATCCCAACAGTGGTTATCTCGGAGGAATTTAGAAAGCTGTCGATTTTCCAACACAGATCAGAGAATCAAACAGTTCAAACACTTGGGCAGATGACCCATGTCCATAAATGTTGATAAATGCCCCCAAATGTTGCTGAAAGTGGAGTGTCCTGGATCATCACCACTGTTCTTTGAGTGCTGCATCGGCAAACTCTAAAAACCTAAAAACCCAGTAGGAGAAAAGTGAGAAACCTCGGGGGGGGGGAATATTGATGTATATTGCAGAATATTGATGTATATTGACCCCGGCGGTGGACTCCTAAGTTAGCTAGGCTCAGAAATCTGGGGCTTGGACACAATCTAAGTGGGATTTGCACCGTAGCGTGTCGAAGCCAAGGCCTGTGTTATACACGTTTTTTAGTTTTCTCTCAGAGAAAGGAAAAAGGGCAGATAAAGGGGTTTACGTTGCGGGAGGGGGGGTAGAGGCTGTGTGTAGCGCGTGGCGTTTTGCAAGCTAGCACTTAGCTATGCTAAGATAGCTTAAATTGAGTAGAATAATGTTCTATCTGTTTCACGGATTGAAGCGTTATTCAAGAGTTAATTTTAACTGGTAAGGGCACCAGTCAAAAGACATTAAGATCTAATTAAAATTGCATTTATTCAGTCTCATAATTTGTAGGCGTGGGTACTTTGAACCGAACAGAGAATTCTGTATCTGTGAGAAATCTGCACAGTCCACTTCGGTTCAGACCAGTTCCTTGTTTAAGTCCAGATAATAGTTTGAGCGTAGATATGTAATCCTCCATTTGGAAATGAGTCCAATGAGTTTTAAAAAGTAAAACAAAACGCGTGTCTCCTCCATAAACTCCTCTGTTTTGCTAGCTGCAGCCGGGTGCATCCAATTTCTAAAGTCAACCGTCTTACACCGTCTTACACCGTCTTACACCGTCTCACACCTCTCTTTCTTATCATTCCTATAGTCATTGAAAAATTACCCTAAGTGCATTTTAAATTATCTTAAAATGTGTTATATGTATGTTAGCCAAACCTGTTGCTGTCCTTAGCAGATAAACCAGGAAGAGCAAGGAGCTTATCGATGGAATTGTATGCAGCCGACTTCTGCGCTCACATGCGCTCCTCTGTGGCTGACCTCACGGTGATACAAGCCGTGGTTGAGCGCGATTAAGACCCATATTTGTTTCAAAAACACAATTTATGAGCCATCCTCTCAACTGTAGACATGTAGATTGTAAATGAAATATGTTTTACATCAGCCAATAATTGCTGACAGGTTTTCTCATCCTCTCTTCTCTCATGACAACACGTTCATTGTGCGTCTTGAGTAACGCGCAGTAACGGGATGTCGGAAATGATAACGGCGTTATATTTACAGTCAAAGTAATTAGTTAGATTACTCGTTACTGAAAAAAGTAACGCCGTTATTCCCATCACTGAAGACAAAACACCCAGACACAAACAGAGCAATGTGGTGTATTCAATAAAATGTAGTGAAGAGGAATGCACTGCTGACCTTGGATAGATAGATACTTTATTGATTCCCGTAGGAGAAATTCAGGAGAAATTTCAAAAAGTTAGCATTTCTCCAGTGGATTTTCATCTGATCCTGTTGGTTCGGACCTTGAATCCTCTCTGCTCTGGTATGGACCAGTGCAGAACCATGAACACTGTACTGCGCAACGTCTCAGGTATAAAAAAGCAATAAAAATAAAAATTGTAAAGCACAAAACAACAACTGTTTCAGAGCTACTCAGGACTTGCAGCCGTCATCCAGCCCATTCAAAAGTAAACCAATGAGAAACAAAACTCTACAGAAATGACTTTACAAACATTGTAGAGAAAATTCTAGTAGGCCACAATCGGCTGTACATGTCCATCTCAAGGTCATCAACCACACTGTGAACGACACGGAAGTTAGTTTGAAGATTGGTATGAAAGAGGAGTGAAAGAAACCTTTCTTGTGAGAAAACACAAATCCCTAAACAGAGAAGGTGGTTTAAGATTGGTTTTGCCTCGCAACTATGACAAGATTCAGATTCAGATTCAGTTTATTTGCCGTTTGCAGTAAAAAAAACCACATTGGAATACATTAGCAAAAAGTCACCAGTGTGCACAGACAAATACAGACATAAAACAACATTAAAAGTTGTTTAAACAACGTCCTAGACAACGTCCTAAAACAACACCCTAACAATAGATAAGGTCAGTGACCTGCTAATGAGTTAGGATCGTTAGCCCCAGCAGGGTCGTCCTGTACAGATGTTGGATGAGCAACCTTCCTTTGTTTTGATAAAGTTACACACCGTGGTTTGAAGCCAATCCAAATCAAATCAAATCCAAGAGAGACAACCCAACAAAATTGTGAATATAGTCTATGTACTTTTCTGCTCTTAAAAACTTGGGTTGTTATTTGGGTTATTGTCACAAAGTTTTGTTCAATTTCTGAATTGCACATAACTCAAAGTGACGCAGACTCAAAGCTCACCGCTCACTTTCTCAAAGCAACAAAGTGTCTACAGCATCACACCAGAGGTGTCCAAACCGGTCCAGAAAGGGCCTCTGTGGCTGCAAGTTTTCTATCAGACCCAGGAGTAGCAGAGCAGACCCCACCCTTTTTCTCAAGTTAGTTCAGTCTTAACCTGAACATTTGAAGAAATGGGTGGAGTCAGCTCTGCTTCTCCTGGGTCTGATAGAAAGCCTGCAGCCACAGCTGCCCTTTCTAGACGGGTTTGGACACAGTCCAGTGGACTGTGAACGGTCAAGTGAACCAATGCCCATGCGTTTGTTCAATTGACCAGATGCATGGGCATTGGTTCACATTTTCCCCCAAATAGGAGGTGAATCAACAAGAACCTACCCGCGCTTAGAAAGGGGGAAGGTCCGTGAATGTCTGGTAGCCAAATGTATTGGTGGCGTAAAAAGACAAGCTGAATGCCACTGCCATTAACGACAGACTGGTTAAAGCTACCTTCTTCGCCACATTTTGAAATTTGGACCAGAAGCTACTCTGGTTTTCTTGGAGGAGGTCATTTTCCTCTTGGAGATGATCATTTTCCTCCTCCTCTTGTTGCATGTTCTCTTCCCCCCTATTTACGTGATCTGTGTCCCTCTCCTCACTGGTCGGCAGGGTCTGAACCCCCTTTTCCACCAGGTGCATCGTTTGAACCTCCTTGTTCTGAACCAGATGCAGTTGTTGAACCGCCTGGTCCTCAAACAAGACCAATCCTGTTGATGATTGATGCATGATCAATACGTCCTTCATGTCCTGGGTGAACCCATCTATCATCATTTGATGTCTTTCTTCCAGGTTGGCGATTAGCGCCGCTTTCTCTCCAACAACTGCTTTCAGTTGTTGATTTTTGAGTTGGAGGTAGTTAAACTCCTCCTCCTCGGTGGAGAACTCTGCTCTTAAATTCATGTTAGATATACATTAGATATATACAACTCCTACAAGACTTGGGTCCGGAGTCCGTTGTCTTCTCTGTCCCCAATCTCTGTGGTCCTATCCTTTACAAAGCCTCACATGAGTGACGTCAAAATGAGTTGTCATAGCAACACATTACATCACCACATCCCATAGAAGTAACCATGACAACACACCATTCTAAGAACAAACAGGTCATAAGTGTTCTTAAAACGCCAGATTTGCACTTCTGAGAATGGAATCATTTGGTTTATTGTGTGTTAACAAATAATAATAGTGAGATTGTGTGTAATATGTGTTAAAGTGATAGTCTGTGACTCTTAATGAATTACAAATTTTAGGAAATGTGTTAAATTGACCTCCTGGCCTTAAATGTTGATATAAAATAGGTAATTTTATTGATTCTAATATTACGGGCAAGTCCCGCCTTCCCTTCTCTTAGCTATACCCCCGAATCCACGGTGCCGTCCACGTTAACCAATCGAGTCATGCCAAGGGCTGTCAATCATCGGCGCAGCTGCTTCTGAAAACCTCCGTGCATGTGAATTAATAATGTATTATGTATAATGTGTTCTCTGATTAACATTTCAAAGTGTTACGGAAACGTAGGTGTAGACCAATCAGAAAGGAAGGGGGAGGGAGCTTGCGTCGTTTTTTTCAAATCAAGTACCTCTCTGTATCTCTTTCTGACAAACTCCAGACAATCACTTTAAGCACTTTGGTCGACTCGATTGTTTTTAAAGTGCCCCACAATTAAAGGTGGATATGAAAAAAAATCAATAATAAACTCTACTAGCAAAAAGTATCCGCGAAGGAGGTATGCTGAGATTCGCAGCGGATGCGCGCAGCCGGTCCGCATTGGAGTTCACTTGCACCGCCATGGCGGTGTACACGGCGATCTTGCTGCGGATAACAGCCTTTTCACCGTGGGTCCGCCGTGGTGGCGCTGCTGGTCCGCTGCAGACCTGGCGGATCCGCTCAGGACCCGCTGCAGATCTGCTTAGAGCCCTGTTCTATCCCGCGGATCTGTTAATAATGATGTATCTATTGAATTCTGCTGCGTGTCATGTGGATATACTCACTGCTAACATGTAAACATGCTTTCTTTGTATCGCAATTTGACATATAGTATAGCAGGGGTCACCAACCCTATGCCCGCGGGCACTCGGTCGCCCGTTGGTTCCTTCCCAGTCGCCCGTGGGACTAGTTCTAAAAATAGTAAGTCAGCCTGAATTTTTTTTATTTTTTTTTATCTACGCCTTATGTTATTTATTTTTCAAGTTAAAATATTAATATATGCTATTACTTAAGTAGTAATCTTAATATAAATGTATAGTTGCATGTAGGTCATAGTTCATCAGTCACCTGCGCATGACAATTAATTCTGCTTTTGCTAGCTAAATACAATTATCATACCGCGCTAAAAACCATGGCTGAGAAGAGAAAAAAGACCTATGCTTTTAACCAAGACTGGGAAGAGGAGTTCTTTTTTATATCGATTCGGGATAAGTGCGTGTGCCTTATTTGTGGAGCAACGGTGGCGATTTCAAAGCGGCACAATGTGGAGCGTAACTATCAAACCACTCACGGTAGCTTCCACCAAAACTTTCCCCCCAAGACTGCGCTTCGGGCGGAGAAAGCGCGTGAGTTAAAGGCCGCTTTAACCAAGCAGCAGAGCTTTTTCACAAGACCACTGAAGAAGGCCCAAAAGGCCACCGAAGCTTCATTCAGAGCTACGCATTATTTGATAAAAAACAAGAAGACGTTTTCTGATGGACAGATTGTTAAGGGTGCTCTGATGATAATCGCAGAGACTGTTTTTAAAGACGATAAAAATGGATCTGATGTGATCTCAAGTCTAGCTGAAGTACAACTTGGGGCAAGTACTGTGACCAGAAGAGTGTCCGCTATGTCCACGAACTTGAATGAACAGCTGGACAAGGACTTAAGAACATGCCAGTGGTTCAGGGTCCAATGTGACGAGTCTGTGGACAGCAGCAGCACAGCTCAATTAATGGTGTTTATTCGGATGGTATTTGAGGATTTCTCCGCTAAAGAAGAGCTCCTCACGCTCATACCACTGAGGACAACTACGCGAGGAGTGGACATTTACAACGCGATGAAAACTTTTTTTGTGGAGAAAAAAGTGCCGCTGGAGAAGCTCGTGTCAGTAACTACCGTTGGTGCACCGGCGATGGTAGGATGTCATGTGGGCTTCATTGCGCTTTGCAAGAATGACCCAGACTTTCCACCTTTCCTACACTACCACTGTATCATCCACCAGCAGTCGCTATGCGCGAAAGTGACCGGGTTTGACCACGTAATGACCCCCGTTATCAAAATCATCAATAGCATTCGCGCTAAAGCCAAACAACACAGGACATTTAAGTTGCTGTTGGAGGAGCTTTCCGCGGAATATGGGGACTTGTTGCTGCATAGAGAAATCCGATGGCTCAGCAGAGGGCGGATTTTGAAACGCTTCCTGGCACTTTTGGGTGAAATAAAGGAGTTTATGCAGAGCAGAGAAGAGGACACCTCACTCTTGGACAATACTGAGTGGTTGCTTGACCTTTCCTTTTTAACAGACATCACAGAAAAACTGAACTATTTGAACTGTGAGTTGCAAGGCACCGGTAAGACTGTCACAAATATGATAAGTGCTGTAAACACTTTTAAAGCTAAAATGAACCTTTTTTCTGCGCATTTGAAAAGAAAAAGTGTTGTACACTTCCCCTCTGTGCAAAAAGTTCTCAGTGACAATGTTTCTGCATCCGTGGCCTTTGATGGGGCTGTAGAGAAATACTGCCAAGTGATAAACAGACTGATGAAAGAGTTTGAGAACAGATTTAGTGATTTTGAGCAAATTGAGCCATGTGTGTCATTCATTTCAAATCCCTTTATGTCAGTTGATATTACAGGCACAGCTGAGAACCTAAGCACAGCCTTTACCTTGGATGCAGGGCAGGTAGAAATGGAAATAATAAGTCTGCAAAATGACCTGTACCTTAAAACACATCTGAGTAGCCCAAACTTTTGGAACCTAGTGGACATGGAAAAGTACAGATCTATCTGCACAGCAGCTCTGAAGGTTGCTTGTCTCTTTGGGTCCACTTATCTCTGTGAATCAGCCTTTTCCAATATGAACTTCATAAAAAATAAACACAGAACACGCCTAACTGATTCACATCTGGAAGATTCACTGAGAGTGGCAGTGTCAAACTATACACCAGAGTACAGCAAACTAGTGGACAACGTGGAATGCCAGGTTTCTCATTAAATGACAACATTGAACAGTGTTTTAGTAAAACACCATGTTACCCGGTCAAATGAACAATGATCAATTGACCGGGTAACAATCTCAAGTATTTGGAAAAACAATGTTCTGTGTTTTGTTGAATTAAATTGTGACTTGTTTATGTTCATTTAAACTAAATAGATGTCACTTTGTCAAATAATAAATTAATTTACATATACTACAAATACCCTTTTTGTGTGAATATTGTAATCTTTTTTGACTTGTTTATAAATATGTTTTGAGCAGGTAGCCCTCAAGCTATTTGTGAATCTTAAGGTAGCCCTCAGCTTTAAAAAGGTTGGTGACCCCTGTAGTATAGTAATTAGAAGGTTTCCTACCTCCTGATTGGACAGAATACATTTAAATTGTTGATACACAGGCGAGGGCCCTTTGCCATAGGCCCAATTGTTCTCCTACAGCAAATCTTATTGGTGTTTATTATACCAAAGAAAGATACTGTATTAAATGAAAAGTTTTTTTTAAATAGACAACTAAAGGGTCACATGATCAAAAATATGCATTATTTAAAAATGAAATACAATATGAAGTTGCCAACATTTCCCTGTGTGATCTTGGTGTTTCTGTTTTATTGCCACATGATTGGTTCTGCTGTTGCTACTCACATATTTTCATACATTTTTCTCCAGATTACTGCTCAAATAAGAGCAGTAAATGTCAATAAATGTACTTAAATGTCCTGGATAATCACTGCATGCAATTATGAACTGTTTTCAGCTATTTGTGCGAATAATCCTGCAGTATCCCATATGCTTAAGCAAAGAATAATCAATGAGGCTGAAAGCTTTTTGACTGAACCCGCGTGAGTTCTTTCACATCCTAATGTCATTACAGTCTCTGTTTTTATCCCATGCTTTGACTGTTTGTGGCTGGAATTGTGTCTCAAAGTCCATCAATCAGACGCAGAACAGTGCTAAAACATCTTTGTGAAACCCAAGGAGCTGCTTAGGGCAGAGTTATTATGTAAATGGGGATAATAGAGGTGAAACAATGGGGTGGTACGAAGACAAATACACAACGTCTCCACATTATCTTTCACAATAATAGAAAAACTGTTTGTTTTGTTTTTTCCCCCAATGTGGTTTGCAGATCGTGGGCTGTGATCATGAGTTGGGAAGCACGGCGAAGGAAGACAACTGTGGGGTGTGCAACGGAGATGGCTCGTCCTGCCGGCTGGTGCGCGGACACTACAAGTCCCAGCATGCATCAGGAAAAAGTACTAATATATTCAGTTCAAATGTATATGTATTTCTCTTTAAGTTAAACATATAGTAAAGGGAAGGCTTCTAAAAGCGTTATCTTCTGCCTATTCCTTTTTTAGACATTATTTTTGACCTTTTTTTTTCCAAATGCCTAAAATGATCAGAATTGTCAGAAATTAAATACATAAATAAACTGAACTTAACTGATTTGCATGGCTTCAATTCACAACAACAGTCGTCTCGTAGGACTTTAAACAATTGTCAACAACAGATCAGACATTCATGCAATTTAACATAGAACATACAATCGACACACAATTATTATTACTTGTATTGTTGTATTACTGAGAAAATAATCTTAACAATGAGGTATTACATAACCCTATAGCACATACTGTAGTACGTTGCAGGCATTCATTGGATTACAGGTTGAAAATAATAATAATAACAATAAATGCATTGGTTTTATACAGCGCTCTTTTAGACAATTCAAAGACTGATTCTAGCAAAATATCTTTTAACATTTGGCACACTCCTACTGAATACTGACATTGTTTTATTTTCTCTCTGTCAAAGCTGACGACACGGTGGTTTCGATCCCCTACCAGAGTCGCCACGTCCGGCTAGTGCTGAAAGGCCCAGATCACTTGTGTAAGTCCTGGTAGGTCCAGGGTACACCACATCATCAAATATAATTAGGGAAGCAGGTAATATGTGAGGATGTGTAAGGAACGTAATCCAATAGATCTGAAGAACTCTGAAGTCAAATGTAAAAGTCTTATATTCAAAACATGGACTTTATCGCCAACGTGTTCTAACTTATGTCACACATTTGCCCGAATGAGGAAATTATAACATCATGGAGAAATCTTTTGCCGTTACACACGCTACACATGTTCCTGACTAAACAATTCAAACATACTGTAACAATTTAAAATCACAATCGGTTAGGCATGGACTATTACTTTGATAATATTAATTTGTTGGTTTTATATAGAGCTTTTTTTGGACAATCAAAGACACTTCACATTTTTCATTCACTCCATACACACTGGTGAACTACTACTGTAGCCATACCTGCCCTGTGACACATTGACAGAAGCAAGGCAACCAGTATGAGTCATTGGGTCGTCCAATCACCACCAACCATTCACACACACACCAGACTCACTCAAGGCAGTAGGAGTGAAGTGTCTTGCCTAAAGACACAACAACAGGTTGGCACTTTACAGCCGCTCCATTGCGGCACCTGGAGGTCTCCCATCACTGTACTAACCAGGCCTTCCCCTGCTTAGCTTCAGAGGTCTGACTGGATCTGGCTCTCACGTGCAGGTAGCGTCACTGTTAGACATTTTTACTTTTTCCCTGAAATGGAACACATGTCATATATAAACATAAAGGATTAGTGTGTGTCTGTAAAAGAACAATATTATTGACCTCGATGATCCTGAAATCAGAACATTTTAATGTCAAAATATGGCGTAATATCCTCAGCATGACTTTAATTACAGTAATCACAAATGTTATACTCTCGCTGCTCTTTGTTGATGAAGCGGCAGATGCTTCCTTCACAATTTTTCTGCCTTTTTGCTCTAAATTGTGTCCAGATTGTTCCTATGTTTTTCAATGTTTTTGTTCACACAGCAACAGGGTTAACTGGGGTCACATACAGCAGCATGTTACATACAAGTCGATTCTGGTGAGAGAGGAATCATAACAAGGCACATCATACTCAGATGCACGAGTTTTTAGAACCAAAGGGAAATTGGAGTCAAGTTAGAGAGCTGCTCACAAGAAATATAGGCTTTTGGTCTGAACTTGTAACAATCCGACTGATTTACCCAAGAGATGGGGACTTGCAAGTCGGACTCAGAGTCAAGTCGGACTGAAGTCATTATTTTTTGAGACTTGGAACTCCAGTCTGACTAGTTCCCTAAAGACTCGTGATTTTGGGACTTGCAAGACTCTATGGTACTGTTCCAAAGAGCGCCGCTTGCCCTGTCGTTCTCTCTTGCTCTCTCTCTCTCTCTGTCTCTCTCTCTCTCTCCCTCTGTCTCTCTCACATGTGTCTGAGCAGCGTCAGGTTGCCAACCATCAAACTGGCCATCAATTGATATTCTGAAGAAGCACCACCTCTGTATGTGGGATCTGAAAACTAAACAGCCCTTGACAAAAAGCTGGAGCCAATTTCCTGTTCAATTGTAATTTCTGTCTGTTTAAAGGGCCCATATTACGCTTTTTTGACTTTTCTCTGGTTTAAACATGATTACAGTGCTATTTGGCCTCATACACATGCCCAAAGTAATTTTTTCATTGATTCCGTCAAGCTTTAGTTAGAGAGCAATCTTTCTCCTTCATTTATCAAGAGTCACAGAAACCAGCTGATTCAAATCGTGACGTGGCACAATCCGTGACGTCAAAAGCATCACTGATTGACAGCTGGGAGAAACTGAACCAGCGAATCAGCGCCGTCCCTGCAGCCCATAGCCTCTGTCCAAGTCCAGCATGTGGTCCATAGAGAGTACATAAGCGTCTGTGCTTTTCTGTGTTAGCTTCATGTCAACTTGGAGAAAATGTGTGGTTGGAGTAAATATGTGACGAGAGTATCGACTTGAAAGGGGATCGACTTTGACTTTGTTCACGGGATCTGCCTCGTATCCGCGAGTCTGAAATTTGTGACGTACAGTAACTAGCAGATCTTTTTTTACGAGTGACTGTGACACCACCAAAGGCTGTTCCAGAACTACAGTTACCTTGAAACGGGACCTGCTCAAAAGCTGATCTGGAAACGTGTTATTTCCAACATAAAAGACGCTAACAGGAGCCTCTGTGAATACAACATAGGGCTCTATGTGACGGGTTGCCATTGTTGGAAAAAGTGTATTCTCAGGTGTGAAAGGACTGTAACAGCAAAAAATGTACAGTTAGCTCTTGTTTACCTCTGAACTTGCTCTGATCTTAGCGTGATGCTCCGTCACCGTGTGGGCGGGCGGAGGCGGGCTCACAGACAGAGGAGGCAAAGGTGACATCACCTCTATATACGAAATGGCTATAATTTGATGCGTTTTGAGTGTTGTGTGGTTTATCACCCAAATTATTATCACACATGTGCATAGGATGGACTGTGAAAAATTAAGAAAAGCGAAATATATGGAGAAGGTGCAGAGGTGGGAATTGAACCCACGACCTTCTGGCCTTAAGGCCAATGCTCTACCAACTGAGCTACTGTCGCCCCTTTTATTCTGTATATTAGGAGTGAATTATTTAGTGCAAACGTCAGCATAGATTAGGATTAACCCTATATGCCCGCGTGCATCGGCGCCGATGCATGCGCACATGTTTTACAAATTATCAATCAATAATTGATGTTTTTTTTTTTTTTGGCTCAGTGTCTTATGTTTTACGTTTTTTACAGCTGTACTACAGAAGCAACCCCAGCATTATAGACAAACTGCTTCAGGAAGGGCATCAGGAGTACAGAGTTTTTTGCTTTTATAGTGGAATTTTGTAAAAAGTATAATAGTTAGAGATTCAATTTTTTTCCCCATTATCCCCATAAATAACATTTCTATGCAGTGTAAAAAGTTGTTTATAGCATTTCATTGTGTTTTTTCAATACATTTTTGTTAAATTGATTTTCCGTTTGATTTTTTTCTTTGTCTTCATGATTCCATAATTTTTATATAATTCATATGACAGCTTTACAATATGAATATTCTAAAACCCCAGGTTGTACTGAAAAAAAACAAAGTTTACTGCTTGACTCTGCATCAAAAGATGACTGTTTTATGAATAATTATACACAAAGAAAACCAGGCGAGGAAAGTTCCCCAAAATGAACCATGTGCATAGAGGGTTAAGAGATCTTTTATTCGTCCCACAATGGGGATAAGGACGCAGTGGTTCACAGAAAGAAGGTCCTGGGTTCAGTTCCACCCCCAGAGAAACAATCCTTCACTTTGTTGTGTTTCGACATTCAATAATGTCTCTATTTCTAAATGCCATGGGAAACATGCTTCACGTTTCCTTTCCTACCTCTACTAATGCTTGTGAATATGAAACACAACCTTTCATCTGTATTATTCTAGACGTGGAGAGTAGGACGCTACAAGGAGTGAAGAGCGACCTCTCCCTGGACACGTCCGGACAGTACCATCTGGAGAACACGACCATAGACTTCCAGAAACTGTCCGATAAAGAAGTTCTGCGGATCACAGGCCCGTTGGCAGCTGACTTCACGGTCAAGGTACCAACACATTTCCTACTGAGTTTAATTTGATGATTTTTACTTCTTCTGTAACTTTCGAACGATTCAAAAATTAACAATATTTTAAAAACGTGGTTACTAGTTCCTCACTCTCAAAACAAGTTCTATCACTTAGTTGTTATATGCATGTAACTTTGGCCTCGGTCACATCTTTAGATCAGCTTTTTCAGGCAGAAAAGTGGAAAGAGAGGACCACAGAGAGGACTTTACAAAGTTGTGGATTCGCTGACAACAGATCAGAGAATCAAACAGTACAAACACAAGAAATGCAAATATAACAAACACATAGGATCAAACGCATCGGTTCATAGGGAGCGGTGTGACCAATGTCCTTAGACCGTCCAGCATCGGCAAGGAACTCTAGAAAGACTTGTACAAAAGTTTGGTACCCCATCTTTAACTTTGACAAGTAGTCATCTTTCCAGAACAGAGGTTTTGTTTCTTGTGTCAAAAATGGCTAGTTCTTTTGACAATTATAGGTAAAACAAAACCATGTATGTTTGCTCCACTGGGAAATCTGGTTTTAAGACACTCAACATGGAGAAAAGTTACTTCAACCAACATTGATGCTCAATAAATAATCTCAAAAACGTACTATTGTGCGACTAAATGCACACTGCAAAAAAATAAGAACTATGAGGATGAAAATTGGTCAAATCTAGTGGTTTTTTATCTTAATTTGAGTTCATTTTGACTGTATTAAAACAAGATTTGCCAATGGGACAAAACCATTTAGTCTTACTTTAAGATCATTGTGCTTGTCCCATTGGCCAATCGTGTATAAAGGCGGTGAGAAAGAGCTCAAATTAGGATATATTTGGTCAAATATGAGAATCGTTGACTTATTTTTCATCATTTTTTGCAGTGCACTTGACAAGACTAAACACATAATCCCAGTTTACAGGAAAGATAACGATCTTAAGTTTATGGTCTGTGTTTGAATCACTCATCTCACAAATTAGCCCTTCTTTCATTAATCACATGCGTTCCAGGAATAATACACAAACTATTTTGGCGCTCTCTGGCAGAATAAGTGTGAAATTTCTGGTGGTTTCCTGTATTAAAGTTATACTGGCCACAAAGAGGAAAAGGCTTGTGAAAACTTCCCTCCTCGTAAACAGTTAAAGTCCGCACAGCACAATAAACGAGGGCCGAGCAGACAGAAATCTGAGCTGCTGTAAGTCTGTCATTTTCTAATCTATTCAGGGCCGGGTCAAGCTGTCGAGGATGGAAACTGTATTGCACACGGCCAGAGCGTCTCTCCCAAATAAACACATGAAGGTTGAACATGCAGAGAAAGAGGAGGAGAGTTTAATTTAGTCAAACATCATAATGGTCCGTAGACACAAGGACTCCCAGAGCAGTCAAATTGACGGTTTGTAGTGTAATTACTCAGCGCATGTACATTCTTGCTAGCTTTGTGACTTTTTCTGAATCTATCTATACATATTTTATTTGTATGATATTGTTTTTTATGTCATATCTTTTATCTTTTAAATGTAACTGTGCCTGTAACTCTAATCCATTTGATTCTATGGCAGTAAAAAGCCCATTTTCTCAAAGGTGGTGGTCCTGGATTTGTTTGTCCATCCGATAAGTGTTTGTTACCATAGCAACACACTGTTTACTTGTAGCAGTTTGCATTTTGGAGCCTTTCAATAAACTGTTATTGCTGTATTTCAAGTTATATAGTAACCAGTTTTAGAACTTATTGAAGGTAAAAAAAAAAAAAAAAACTGCCAATATACTAAAATACTATCATTGTTCCATTGATTTGAATGGGAACCTTCAAAATGACTGCTCTGGGAGTTCTACTAGTTTCCGAATACTGGGAGTCCTAGTGTAAAATGGAAAGATTGGAATAGATGACAGTGCTTCTTAATTATATTTTGAGATAACACGTGTAACAAGATGAAATTGGTTGTGGTGTGATTTATTTTTACTTCTGGACACAATTTCTGGCACAACCAACATTCAACCAATTATTAATCCAATGGAGAATTCGGGTACCCCAACTTTAATTTAGAGAGTTTTTTATGAGCTTCAGGAGGAGACACGGGGGAAGACCTGGAAACTTCCTGACAATCCCATAATCCAGGTCTGTTTCTTGCAGTGGTGTATTTTAATCCATTAGTCACTTTACCTGCTTTTATTATTACTACATTATTAGGTATCACATTCTTCTGATAATTCACAAGTCACTTTACCTGCTGCTATTTATCCTTGAACCAAGAGCATTTGAAGCTCCAGAGTTTATTATCGTTTAGTTCTATCTTAAATAATATTTTTTGTTTGTGTGCAACCTGACTGCTCTTCTTTTCTCCTTTTATTCTGCTCTAATGTGCAAAACGATGACACTGAAATTTCCCCGCTGTCGGACGAATAAAGCTTTATCTTATCTTACAAATGCGCACAATTGTGGCTGGTCACATTACCGCCGCGCTGTTGTCCAAGCGGCTGCTCTGTGCTTCTCCAGTTGCATCTATGGCCAGTCCCCGGTCATTATCCCCCCTTCTCTCCACAACTCGGGGGAAATTCTCCCTGAACCTGTATTCTCTCTTTGCATGTGAGTGACAGAGAGGCAGAGATCCTGAATGTCAAAGCCACACTGCACTTAATCACCATCATCAGTGATCGGATCAATATAAAGTCCTCACTGACTGCGATTTCTTTGTAAACGAGGATATTTTTTTCTCAATGTCTTTCTTTTTTTGGAGCGATCTGAATTATGGGATTGGACTATTGGACTAATGCACATGAATAATATCACCCAGTGCAAATAATATGGGACAGAGGCCAAAAATGCATGCATCCAAAATCACAGCAGTGGCCACGACTTTACAAACTTGTGGATTCACTAAAAATAGATCAGAGAGTCACAGACTGTTCGAACAGAGGAAATATTAACAAACATACATGAACTGGCGTCGGTAGAGCATTGGCCTCTGAGCCAGAAGGTCGTGGGTTCGAGCCCACCTCAAGACTTTCTCCACCGACTCCCACTGTCTTCTGCCGTTGTGTCCTTGACAAGACACTTAACCTCTGGGAACACCAGTCACAGTGGGGCGGCTGCGGCTGTGAAGTGCCAAATTGCCGTTGTGTCCTTAGGCAAGACACTTCACCCCCATTGCCTAGAATGAGTCTGGTGTGTGTGAAGGGTTGGTGGTGGTCTGAGGGGCCAATGGCACATACTGGTTGCCTCGCTTCGGTCAGTGTGCCCCAGGGCAGCTGTGGCTACAGTAGTAGTTTATCACCACCGTGTATGGAGTGAATGTCTTTGAGTGTCCAAAAAAGCGCCATATAAAACCGATGCATTATTATTATTATTATAAGCAGCAGGATGAATAATGTCCATAAATCATCAATGTCCTTAGCTCACTGATCTTAGACCCTCCTGCATCATCAAAGAACCACTCAAAGACAAAAAGATGGTTGTCTCGGAGGACTTTACTATCACTGCGTTGCTCTAATGCTCTACCAAACCCAAAAATGCATGTGTTTGAAAAGTAGTGATAGAACCAAACTGTTCTGAGAGTGAGGAACTACAGTAAGTAAGTAAGTTTATTCATACAGCGCCTTTCACAGACTGGGATCACAAAGCACTTCACAACTAAAAACATACAGTAAAAATAGTACACATACAAGTCAGTTCCAAAAGCAAATATACCGAATAATCATAAACACATTTCAGATAAGTCTTTGTACGGTGAGGCGAGAAACCCTGCCTAAACAAATAGGTCTTTAGTTGCGACCTAAAATTGTCCACTGACTCTAACCAGCTCATTCCAAAGCCTGGAAGGATCTGTCTCCTCGGGTTTTAAAACGAGTGCGAGGGACCATCAACAGGTTCTGGTGTACCTCAGGCTCCTGTTAGAGACATAAGGCTGGATCAGTAATGACATGATTTTGGAAAAGTTTGAAAGTTAAGTTCTGCAGCTTTGAGCCAGTTCTGTAAATGCTCATCCCACACACAAACATAAGAACGTGTCTGTGCGTTTACGTTGTTCCTGTAGGTGCAGTTTTCCAGCGGAGCCGACAGCGTGGCTCAGTTCATCTACTACCAGCCGATCGGTCACCGCTGGAGAGAGACGGACTTCTTCCCTTGCTCCGTCACATGTGGAGGAGGTAATTTCCCAAACTTACCCGATCATTATCAGCGACTTTTATTCTATTATTGATGTGATATGATTGTTGTGTAATGTTGTGTACAGGATACCAGCTCACTTCTGCCGAATGTTTCGATCTTCGGACCGGGCGAGTGGTGGTGGATCAGTATTGTCATTATTACCCAGAAAATGTGAAGCCCAAACCCAAACTTCAAGAGTGCAACATGGAGCCGTGTATGGCCAGGTGAGTCCAGAGATAAGTGCCGCATGCATCTCTGCTTTAGCTGTTTCTCTCATGCACAGGTGTCAAACACGAGACCATTTTAGTGGGTCCTAAAAATATGAAATTATTACCATTAACTTGCAGCATTGATGGTAAGGTTACCATGACGTGATTGGACTGAATAAAACTGCTATTGCCACTTTGTATTGTACATAATATATCCTGCCCATTTTTTTTTACTTCTGAATGATTCTATATATGCCAAATGTGACATGTCAATATCTCCATTGTGAGATCAATAAAGCTTATCTTATCTTATATATCATTTTAAAGCTGTTTCTCTCAAGGAAACAGCAATATAATTTAGTTTATTCTAAAGTTTGAACCCAACACGTGATTGTTCATTGAAACATAAATTATTGGCTGATCCTCAAACTTTTATCCAGTTTTGATTCAGTCCAAACGTACAGAAACTGAACTAGTTTTTTCCCAAAAAATCTAAAGGGATCCTTTTGTCAAATACTTTCATAATGTAAATAATGTATATCCACAAATGCAAAGATGAGTTTCAAACACTTCAGATTCATATTATCTGCCATTTGCAGTAAAACCCCATAGGAAAACATTTGCAAAAGTCCCCAGTGTGCACAAGACAAGACTAACTTAAATAGTGCAGGAAACTGACTTTTGTGCAAGATTAAAGATTAAAATGCTATGATAACAGCTTTAATAACAGCTTTGGAACTTTTTAAAATCCAGACCCCTACCAAAAGAACACCCCAGCTCTAGAGATAGATTGTTATAATAATGATAATAATTATAGAAATAATAACAGATATTTCACTATTTGTTCTTCACCATCTATTTTAAGGCCATACAAATAAATGTCATCCTTTTTTGTGCCAATTCTTTGCCAATACTGCCAATAACTAAACATTCTGATTATTGTAGATGAGTACAACTTTCAAAACGGAGATATGTTTTTGCAAATGCGCTTTGTGACTCTATCTATTTTACCAACTTACTATATTTTTTGACAGTCAACCCTGTATTATATTACTAGAGTTTGAGTAGATTTTGAATATTCTTGATTTCTATCCAGAACCAGGACCACATGCTAATAGTAAAAGTGGAAGTATTGTGTTGAAATGAAACAGTTGTTTGAGAGTTCACAGATTCCAACAGGATTTTTCTTGGCCATATTAGTGGTTGTGTGAAGCCATTTATTGTGAAATAAACGTGTTTCCTATTTTCAAATTATAACCCCTCTGAGCCGCTCTGGGGAGATCTCAATGTATGTAAAGCAGCCCAGGAATGTACAGGATGGTGTTGATTGGGGGCTGATGTGTTCGGCGACTCGCTTCCGTCATCACTGTGTGTGGAATAATTGGAGCAATATCTGAACTCCCACCTCTGCACCTTCTCCACCGACTCCCACTGATGACTGCTGTCGTTGTGTCCTTGGGCAAGACACTTAACCCCACTTTGCCCAAAGCCCCCGCTGAAAGATCAAGGCTATGCTCACAGTCAGAGCAGCCGTCCTCCTGTGGACTCACCACCTGCAGAGGGTCAGTGAGGGGCTGGTGCTATGAGACTTGGGTGGCATCTCTGATTGCCACCCCCCTGACCCAGAAATGGATTAAAGGGTAGAAAATGGATGGATGGATGGATGGATATCTGAACTCTGAACATTGTGAAGCACTTTGGGTGACCTTGGTCTGTAAATTACTTACTAGGAATCTTTTTGTCATGAAGAATGTGTATATGTGTCAATAGTTGGTCAATAGTTGCCAAATGTTTGCTGTAAATGTATAAAATGTACTAACAGCTGTTTCGATGTCTTTTCTCCTTCAGTGACGGCTATAAACAGATCATGCCATATGACCTGTACCACCCATTACCGAGGTAAATATGTGTCCAATATGACATCCATTATACAAACACAAACGCTTCATGATTAATTGTATTGAAATCTAAATGAAATTCAATGAAAAAAACACTTCCATTTGGAAAATGTGTCCTGATTTGAGTTTATTTTCAATATGGAACAAGATGTGTCAATGGAACTAGTTCCTTTTGTCTTCTTTCTCACAGTTTATTTAAACTGGCAAAATGTTTTGCACACCTCAGGTCTGACTGAGTGCGTATTTCACCATGTAGTGTGAGAGTGGACAATATAGTGCCTTAACTTTTGACCAGAGTGGTGTCAACACTGCTCCAGGATCAGTTGTTTTGTAGGTTTTTTGGTGAAAGGGTTGTCAGTAGGGCTGAAACAACTAATCCATTGATCGACGACTAATCGATTATTGAAATAGTCGACAACTATTTTAGTAATCGATTAATCGTTTTCTGGTTCACACGGACTCAAACAGAGCAAAAATGACATGAAAATGTAGTATTTTTGATTAAAACCGACTTTGTTTTTATAATTTCATGAATATCTGTCTGTCTCATCCAATCAGATAGCAGAATTAGCACAAAGAGCCTGTTACAAACATTTACTTTAAGTTTACGCCATCAATACGTCCTCGAGTGTTGCAACTTTAGCTTTTTGTGATTAAAAAATAATTTTTTTCTACACAATTCACAGCCAAGCGATTACTCGATTAATCGTAAAAATAATCGATAGATTAATCGATTACAAAATAATCGTTAGTTGCAGCTCTAGAAAATCTTCCAATCTCTTGATCCTTGACACCTGACGTGGAATTGACTTGGACTTTGACGCGGACTTGACTTTGACTTGTGAGTCTGGGACATGTGTGTCTCTGCGCTGTGCTGACCAATCATACAGCCTCATACAGCCACTAGCTCATTGCAAAGTCATATATACAAACATATTAACTATGAATTATTTTCTCACAAAAAGTTGAGTGTTTAAGAAATTAACACTTTTGCAGTAACATATTTTATGTCTACTAGTAAAAAACACGTGAGAGACAATCTGTTCATTTGTGCGCTTTTCAGAACTCTCTTGAAGCTGTTGCTATAAGATTAGATATTTTAAGCATACAGGAAATAAGAAACGTTGCTCAGAAATATCACAATTATATATTTTGCCAACTTTGTGCAGCCCTGCCAGCTCATACTCGTGTCTTTGTCTTTCCACAGATGGGAAAATAGTCCGTGGACCGCCTGCTCTACTTCCTGTGGCGGAGGGGTACAAAGTCGCTCTGTTACGTGTGTGGAAGAGGACATGCAGGGGAACATCACCCCCACAGAGGAGTGGAAGTGTCTGTACTCCCCCAAAACAGCCATCCTCCAGCCCTGCAACGCCTTTGACTGTCCCACCTGGCACGCCCAAGATTGGTCTCCTGTAAGAACTCAGCATTTACAGACAGAGACATTTCACCACAGTGGGACACAAAAGGGTCTCTTCTTTTATCTTTTAGACTGGGGCCATTTAAAGTATTAAAAAGTACATTATAAGTATTCAAAGGTACTTATGATGGCGTTTAATTTAATTCCCTACATTTTAAGTAGATGCATGCATTTGTGTTATTTTATCAACAGAAACATAAAGCTGGGATACCTAACTTTCAAACCACAACACAAACACCTAATAAAAATCCACCTATCTACTAGTTCCATTGGATCAAAAAGAAAAATGGTCCTTCCATCACTGGTTTTCACATGCATCTACTTGGCCTCTGTCACATCCTTCAATCAGCTTTTCCAGCCAGAAAAGTGTCAACGAGGAGGACCATTCTCCCTCAGCCAATCAGGTCTCTGAAAGTGAAAAACTGACTTATTTTCTTATGTATGCAAATTATAATATGTTTTCTAACTAGATGAAGACAGAATGGTGTGGTCGGATTTGTTCACAACATGTTTCTGCTGAGACAAACAACACTTATAATTAGTGAAAGAAAACATTTAGAGACCCCAGCTTTAAAGTGTTCAGTTACGTCAGTTGGAGTTATCTGGGAGGACTTTACAAAGCTGTGGGTTCGCCAACACAGATCAGAGTATTGAACAGTTCAAACATAGGAAATGCAACGATAAAAACAAATATGGATCATCACCACTGTCCTTGGACCCTTCTGCATCGGCAAGAAAATCTCTAAGAAGCCCGTGGGAGAAGAGTGAGAAACCTCATGTGAGGATCTGCTCCCACGGACGGACGGGCATTAGATCCAGGACTAATGGCAGCAGTAGTAGTAGTATAGTGGTAGAAGTTGTAGTAGAAAAGCTGTAGTAGTAGTAGTAGTAGCAGTAAAAGCAGTAGCACACGTGGTAGTCGTGGTAGTAGTAGTCGCACAAGTAGTAGTGACAGCAGTAGTATTAGTAGTTGTCTTGGCTTCTAAGCAATCATGTAGCCATCCTTTGGGTGTCCGCTTCCTGACTCACAGCATCAAACACAACACGTAGCCGTAGATCCATTTCCAAAGTTTTATTTGTCAAAAACCAAATAGTCTGCGTTGCGTGCATGCGTGCCTGCGTTGCGGTCAAAAACCATGTCGGTCACCCTCATTATCCAGATTCCCCCACACCTGTCCCATCTATGACTACTTTTAAATTTCAGAACTAATTTTAGACTTTTAGACATTTTAATATAAACTAAATTATGGCCTTAACAGTAGTAGTAATAGTGGCAGGGCAGCAGGGTGGCGCAGGCGCTTGTCGCTTGTGCCTCACAGCAAGAAGGTCCTGGGTTCGATTCCACCTCCAGACCTTTCTGTGTGGAGTCTGCATGTTCTCCTGTGTCTGCGTAGGTTTCCTCCAGATGCTCCGGTTTTCCTTATCACTAAAGATATGTACAACAGGTCTGGCATGCGGCTCCTGTACTTTCGACCCCACTTCCATGTGTGGAGTGAGAAACAAAGGCCCACAACAAAAGCGCTTTATGACTCTGGGTATTTAGATAAAGTAGTAGCACAATTTGTAGTAGTCACAGCTTCGGATTTGACTGTCTTGTGTTAATTCCCCTCTTCCATGTAATCTACAGTGGAATACACAGATGTGGTAAATCACATTTGCGTTTCGGAGCCAACACCGCAGTGAATCTCACAGCGAGGATTACATTGATCGCGGACGTCCCATTCAACTTCTCAATGAACCTCTTTGGGGACTTTTTTCTTTTATCAGTTGCTGGCTGCTAAAACCTTCAAGCATATTTGTGGCCTCGCTCTGAAAACCTCGGCCGGCTGTTTACCTTGCACATTCTTCCTGTGAACTCGTCTTTAAATGCTTGTTTTGGCAAAGAGACGCTCCAGGTTTGCGCCGCAGCAGGGAGCCTGGAAGCCTCGCGTTTTTGCCTTCGTGCCTCCCCTGGACCTGAACTTAAGCAGAGAGATGTAATCGCAAAGGAAAAATGTAAACGTTAGGCTTAATGCTATCTGAAAACGAATGAGTGGAGAGGTTGTGTTCTCTCTCTCCACACTGGAACTTGTGGACAGAGGCTCCAGTCCCGCCTCGTCTAGTATCTTTTGGTTTTGGCCGTTGAACGTTGGGTGTTTTTAGGCTTCAGTGTTGTTAGAAAGGCTTTGTTGAAAGATTCTTCATAACTTGTGTTTTGCCTTTGGTTTTCATGTATGTAGGTACCAAATTTACAAATTACCAAATTACTTTTAATTAACTTAATTTAACTTACAAACTTGAACTGACACAAAACTGGACAAAAACTCAGAAAGGCTTGGTATTGCAGACTGATTGACCAAAAAATAATATTATTAATTGCGTTTGTTCAATTAGAATAGAATAAATAATAATGTTTTATATAGGGCTTTTTTGGACACACAAAGACTACTACAGTGGCCACAGCTGCCCTGGGGCACACTGACTGAAGCGAGGCAACCAGTATGTGCCATCGGCCCCTCCGACCACCATCGACCATTCACACACACACACCACACTCATTCTAGGCAATGTGGGTAAAGTGTCTTGCCTAAGGACACGACAACAGTTTGGCACTTTACAGCCGCAGCCGCCTTACTGTGGCACCTACTAACCAGACCCTTTCCGGTGCTTAGCTTCAGAGGTCTCACAGGATCTGGCTTTCGCATGCAGGTGGCGCCAAATTTATACAGTTGTTTTTGTGAGGAGAAAATAGCTTTAATATGATGTATAATTTGCAAAGTAATTTTTATAAAAGTAATGTCCTCAAGTTATGAACTATCGGTAATGACTGAAAAGATATGAGCGAGGTGGGTGACGTTTTTTGACTCTATGACATTTAAACATGACCTGGAGGATTCTGTCTGTGTGTATTTTGTGTATTTTATTATTATTCATTTGATTTTGGTTTTGGTTTGATTCTATGGCCCATGTGGTGGGGTTGGGTGTTTACTGGGATTGACATTCGGCTATATTGTCTGTATTCTCCTTCACCATTTTTTATATCACTGAATGCTGTCTATTATTGTTAAAATGTTAAATAAAATACCAAAAAACAGAAATAGGGTGATCGCAGAGGTAAAATGTAAACGTTAGGGTTAAGGCTATCTTAAAAAACGAATGAGTAAAGACCTGATCTCTCCCCACAGTGCACCGTCACATGTGGCCAGGGGCTGCGGTACCGTGTGGTCTTGTGCATTGATCACCGGGGGCTACACGCTGGAGGCTGTAACCCCACCACCAAACCTCACATCAAGGAGGAGTGTCTTGTGACCGTGCCCTGCTTCAGAGCCATAGGTGGGTTGACTCTTCTGTGAACTGGCTTCTCAAAACAAAACACCTCCAACTTGTTTTCATCCAGAGATATTCAGATTTGGGCACGTTTACACCATAGACTTGTGGTTCTCAACCTTTCCACGCCTCTGTACTTCCCTCAGACTGAATACAAGGAGATCCAATTATACCTCCAGTGTTTTTTATCTCATTATTTTAATATTTTATTATCTATTATCTTAAATAATATTGTGTGTGATGTGTGCTAACCTGAGCCTGATTATTTCTCCTTTTATTCTGCTGTTATGTGCACAACTAGGACAAATAAATGTTGATCTTATCTTACGAATTTGTGAATTTACAAAGATGATATTAACACTATGATTATATAGAATTATCAAGCCCAAAATGGTGAGTGTGACACAAGGAGTGATTGAGCAGTGTACTTTTCAATGTAAGTCAATAGGAGCCAGAAAGAGTTGGAGCAAAACTTTGTCCATGAGCACTTCCCTATTGGGTTTTGTTGAGCTTAATGTAATTTTTTTTCAGACACACTTCCTGTTGAGGCAAAGGAGCCGTGGCAGAAGCAAGCCATTGAACTGGAGGAAGAAATGAGTGTGACCGAAGAGCCAACGTGAGTATCAGGATAAGTCCTTTTTTTGGTTTCACATTTTCAAAAATGCATAATTTTGTGATGATGTGTGATTGAAGTTAGGGTACTTTGTTTTGGTTCATACAAGAGTCTTGTATAAGTAAGTATGCAAGAAACTAGTTACTTGGATTGTATTACATGAAATATTAGACCACAACATGCTGCCTTCATCTCAGCTGATCGAAAGATATGACATTGGCCAATAATACATACAAGTACAAACCAGTGATTGAACCATGATTGACAGTTTTTGAGAGCTATGGGAACTTAATACATTTGAGTTATTTTTTGTGGTTTGTAAAATGCACATAATATAACTGATTATAATTATAGTAACAAATTACGGGGCCTTCTCTTACGCACCTGTGGGGCGCCCAGAATTATGGAATTACCAGAACTCCCAGAGCCATCATTTTGACTGCTCCCATTCAAACCAATGGAATTGTTTTTATAACTTAACTTACTTTTACTAAGAGCTAAGACTGGTGAATATTCTGAAACACAGTATAAAAGTTTGTTTAAAGGCCACCAAATGCTAACTGCTGGCAATTAATGTGTGTTGTTATGGTAACTATGGTAGCTAACTGCTCACGTTTCAAAAATGAAAGATCATTTCATTACAATAATGGCGTAGAAATAAACTACATATCGAAACAGAAAAAGTCACAAAGTTATGAAGCCCAAACATATGCTGAGTCATTACACTTCCAAAACTAAAAGCCGACAAATTGACTGCACTGGGAGTTCTTGTCCTTAGAGAAAATATAAAATTCAAAATAATCTTTAGTAACTCGTTCAGGGAGTAAGAAAAACACAGCAGCAGCAGTTCACAACCCGGAAAATCAGCAGAAAATGAACAATGCTAAATCAGAGAATTACTGTCGTCCTTCGTCGATTTGAACGCCGCAGAGACGAGCTCGCGCTGATCCAGGACCAGTCAAAGTGCAAGTAAAAATTTTCCTTGAGGTGAAATTGCTTTGGACAGGGCTCGCTGCTCCTGTGAAAACCCGCACAGTATCACGGTTGTGTTCACGTCTGCAGATATTTGCGTCAAGCGTTTCATGTCAGAACGTACAGCTGCGGCCCCCACGTTTTACACGCCTGTCATAATACTCCCCCATGTACCGCGGCACATCTGCACCTGCCAGGAGCCTGTCTGTAAATGGGGCTGGATTAGAATTTTGAGCATGGGTTTTGGAGTTGGACATATTAACCTCTCTCTTGAAAGTTTGCAAGCTTCAGTCATGCGTGAGGTAATATAAAAGATTTAATAGTCTTACTCATAGACTGTACATAAATGGAACATGTTAACGCCCTAGCTCAATGAAGCCCGATAGGGAAGTGCTCATGGATGAAGTTCTGCTCCAACTACCTCCTAATGACTTTCAGTAAACTCTCATCATTTTGAGTTTAAAAATCTACGAGCGCTCTTTGTGATCCTGTTTATGTTTTGATATTGTTTCTGTAAATACATATATGCCATATTAGGGTTGACTGTACAGATTCCTTCATTCACGGGGGAATCTCCAGCTTGCCGTAGCAACCATCTTAGCAACACATCTGTAGCTGTTACAGTAAGAAGCTAACAAGGTCCGAGTCGGAACAAATGCCCATATAAGGAAATTTGCTTCAAGTAGCTTATGTTCAAATTAGATTTTTTCTGCATTCGGCCAACACTACGGTGACGTCAGCATATTAATATCCACTAATATACAGTATTATGGTTGTGGTATACAGTGCCTTGCGAAAGTATTCGGCACCCTTGAACCTTTCAACATTTCGCCACATTTCAGGCTTCAAACATAAAGATATAAAAATTAATTTTTTTCTCAAGAATCAACAACAAGTGGGACACAATCGTGAAGTGGAACAACATTTATTGGATAATTTAAACTTTTTTAACAAATAAAAAACTGAAAAGTGGGGCGTGCAATATTATTCGGCCCCCTCGCGCTAATACTTTGTAGCGCCACCTTTTGCTGCAATTACAGCTGCAAGTCGCTTGGGGTATGTCTCTATCAGTTTTGCACATCGAGAGACTGGAATTCTTGCCCATTCTTCCTTGCATAACAGCTCGAGCTCAGTGAGGTTGTATGGAGAGCGTTTGTGAACAGCAGTCTTCAGCTCTTTCCACAGATTCTCGATTGGATTCAGGTCTGGACTTTGACTTGGCCATTCTAACACCTGGATACGTCTATTTGTGAACCATTCCATTGTAGATTTGGCTTTATGTTTTGGATCATTGTCCTGTTGGAAGATAAATCTCCGTCCCAGTCTCAGGTCTTTTGCAGACTCCAACAGGTTTTCTTCCAGAATGGTCCTGTATTTGGCTCCATCCATTTTCCCATCAATTTTAGCCATCTTCCCTGTCCCTGCTGAAGAAAAGCAGGCCCAAACCATGATGCTGCCACCACCATGTTTGACAGTGGGGATGGTGTGTTCAGGGTGATGAGCTGTGTTGCTTTTACGCCAAACATATCGTTTTGCATTGTGGCCAAAAAGTTCGATTTTGGTTTCATCTGACCAGAGCACCTTCTTCCACATGTTTGGTGTGTCTCCCAGGTGGCTTGTGGCAAACTTTAAACAAGACTTTTTATGGATATCTTTGAGAAATGGCTTTCTTCTTGCCACTCTTCCATAAAGGCCAGATTTGTGCAGTGCACGACTGATTGTTGTCGTGCACTGTAGTTATCTGCAGTTCATCCAGAGTGATCATGGGCCTCTTGGCTGCATCTCTGATCAGTCTTCTCCTTTATTGTCCTCACTGTATATGAAGCTAGCATGACTTTTGATACATACATGTTGCACAGTGTAGTATGTATAACTCTGTATGTGTTTTTATTTACATTGTATTGGATTAGTTGAAATGTACATAGTATGGCATTAAAGCTGGGGTACGTAACTTTCAAAACCTTCAAAACTGACCTACAGTATATGTAATTCTGTTGGTGTGCCCCAGGGCAGCTGTGGCTACAGAAGTAGTTTATCACCACCGCATATAGAGTGAATGAATAATGACATGAAAGTTTTAAACTTCAGCCTAACCCTTTCGGTCAGTATATAATTTGTGAATGTCAAATGTTTTCTTATTTTCTGCTGATGGCCGAAGAATAAACAAATATATACATGTAAAGTGTCCAAAAAAGCGCTATATATAACTGATTATATTATTATTATTATTATTATAGTTCCTGGCTCAAAATCAGTTTGCCTCTTTGACTTGTTTTCACTTGCATGCCTTTTTGGCCTCTGTCACCTCTTTAGATCAACTTTTTTCAGACAGAAAAGTGAAAAAGAGAACAACAACAACAATTTATTCGTGTATAGCCCTATAGCCCTCAGAGGACTTAACAAAACCATTGAAATCACCAGTTAAGACACAACAAATACACATATGAATTGGTCCATAGGGAGAGACTGTCCGTGAATGTTGATAAATGTCATACATGTTGTAGAAAGAAGACCACGTTCTCTCAGCCAATCAGCCCAAAGCTGGGCTCTTTCTTACAAGCATGCAAACAGCACCATCTTTTATACTAAGAAAATACCTCTTTTGTTCTGCTCTGATTTGATTTAACTTTTACACACATTTCTGTTGGGATGCACAACATGGATTATGAAACAATACAAGTTTTAAATCTGTTGTATCATCCATGTACTGTTCATATCAACTGTTGACAAGACAATGCACAAGATATTAGAATTACATTTCAAATAATTGTAGTCTTGTCACACAAATGAAAAGGAGCAGAAATAGGAAGAACATCTCATTGCCTGCCCCTTTCTTAAACATGTACAAATTAAAAGAAACATTCTCATTATTGTCTATATACAGTATTTATCTTTCAAGTTGCTGGAAAATACCTTAAAAAATACCTTTAAAGCATGCATTATACAACCAGGGAAGTTGAATACGGTGTTACAACATACAAATGTTACAACACACTTTTCATTTGGAACATAAAAATAAGTTCACAAATATACGGCTTTTCTTCCGTGCATGAAAGCAGAAATATGATTGTAAAATATATTGCAAGCCGTATAAGCCAAAAGCAATATCCGAGACCCATATGGAGACAGGATGTTGCCTGTTTTGGAAATAATGCACAACGTTTTGCAGACTTCCACTATGAAAATCCTCAAAATAAAATAAAAATATAGCGATACACTGTTAAAAGCAAATAAATCACCTCCTCTTGATGCAGATGTATAATTGATAGCATTAAGAAGACGTTTTGGCGTATTGTGTTATTGGAGCGAGACCGGGGTCGCGCTCCAAACAACTGAAGTGGGTTAGCAGTGCGTGAAGATAAGCACTGGTGTTTTGAGTGCAAAGTCTGAATGCATTGATTCATGTGTTTGTCCAACTCCCAACGAGCTCCCAGCAGCAGCGCCGGAGCCAAGTCTGCAGTAATCATGAGTATTTTATTGAGACGTCCAGTAAAACCCCAGGGTGCGCTCGTGCTGTGGTCAGGCAGGTTAACCCAGCAGGAATGTACAACGGGAAAAGCTGTGAGTTTATAGGGTATGAGTGGTGGGGTTTTTAATTAAATTATTAGGAGTTTTTATTTTTGACCTGTGTGGGAATGCTGTGTCGACATCAGATGGCAGGGAAAGGGATGATTTTTTTTCCCCCAATGTGCCTGTTCTGGATTGGTTCTGGATTGGTTCTGGACTGGTTTTGGACTGGGTTATCTTGGCTTTCCACCAGAAAAAAGCAAATGTTGGTTACCGAAGCAGGACAGTGTTTACTTTACGATTGAATGTATTCTTTTATAGCCCTAATCCCAACAGTAGTCATCTCAGAGGACTTAACAGAACCGTTGAAATTGCCAACACAGATCAGAGAAACAACAATTAAGATACAAAAAATATAGAACACATATGTATCGGTCCATAGGGAGTTGACCAATGTCCATAAATGTTGATAAACGTCCATAAATGTTGATTAATGTCCATAAATGTTGATTAATGTCCATAAATGTTGGAGAATGTTAGAGTGTCCTGGATCATCACCACAGTCCTTCTTGTCAGACACTAACTGTCTTCAGACCCTCCTGCATCAGCAGTTAGCATTTGGTCTTTAGCCCTTTGATTTTTGCTTTATTTCAAGTGCTAGTAGATACCAGTTGGGCTTCATAGCAAGAAGCTCCTGGGTTCAATTCCACCTTCAGACAGGGCTTTTCTGTATCGAGTTGTCATGTGGAGTTTATCTTCTCCCTGTGTCTACGTAGCTTTCTTCCAGGTAATTCGATTATCCCTACCACAGAAAAAAAACATGTAAACTAGGTGAGGGTTGAATAAGTGTGTGTTTGTGACTGTGACTGTGGGACAACAGATGGAAATCAGCTGCACAGCTGCATTCTGATGTATTTACGCCTCCTGCTGTTCATTAATTCACACTGTCCTACCTGAGTAAACAAATTAACGCATTTTAGCACTTTAGAAAAAATATTATAAATTACTTTCGTTTAACAGATAAGGTAAAAACAAAACAAATGTTTGGGGATTTTAATGGAATCTGTCAAAATGACGGCTCTGGGAGTTCTAGTATTTTCATATTTCTGGCAATGATATGCCATATTTCAGATTTTTAGGAACTAAGAGTACTAAGTATATCTCATCTTATGTTACCTGTACTCTGCTAAGTTCCTACAAATCTGAAATTCTACGCCCATGTGTGCCCTGCTTTTCTACAGCTGCCTTGGTCTCATTTCTCCCACAATAGTATTTTCCCTCGTGTGATCATCGATGTGTGTAGTTTTAGAGCCTTCACCTGACCCACATGGAAGCAGCTAGCTATAAAACTGTTTGGTTTTATTGTGTCTAAATTACCGATATATGCGTCTATACGTTTCTCACACTAAGGACTAGGTCAAAAGGTGCATGACTTACATTCTCATCCAGGTCTCTCAGTGTGAACAGGAAGAAATCTCGGGTTGATTTTCCAAAATATATCTCCTTTAAAATGACGTATGAAGCAAAGAAAACTCATAATAATCTGTGATTGTGAGAAAAGGGCGGTAAAAACTGCCTTTGTTTTTGCTCAGCGGGAATGCACCTATCGGTTTCAGTCAAATAACCACTTCAAAAGACATCATGCTTAATTGTTTTGATATGAAATACTAAAAACATCCAACCCATTATTAGTTTGTATCTGAGGTCTATTGATCGCATATGCCTACAATTAAGAGCAACGTCAGCACCAAGATTTTTCACATTTCTTTCGTGTCCACATTTCTTCTTCACTTTAGTCCAATCTATTAAGTCATGCACTATCTTCCCAATGCTCATAAATAATAAAACATCTGCAGAACATATAAACTACACCATGATGACTTACTAATACAATCAAGTACTGATATAAGTATTTAAGAAATCCACTTGTCTGTTGAATTCTCCCAAACTACTAAATTCAGTTGTATGGAAATGTTTAAAAATGAGTGAGTTTTCTATGGTAAAAATGAACTTAAATTAACTGTAACAAACTGTTGAGTTGAGCAGTACTTTTCAGTGTTCTAGTATTTTTTTTTTTAATGGATTAATGGCAATACTTTACACAAACATTGAGACTCCCAGATGACTTCAGAACATGAAAAGCAGATCTCAGACTGTTGCCAGGTCAGTCTGTTCCATGTTATGAAATAGCGCTCTGTCTTCCACATTATTGTTTCATTACATTTCTATGCAAGCAGAAATCTGACAGAGAACAGGCATCAGGTCCTGCAGTTCATTTGACTTAAATCGAAATGGAATCCATCTCCTCAAAAACAGACCTGGACTTGTTTTTTTAAGAGCCATCAATTGGAAGCTAATATCAGCAACTTCTGGCACAAACATGTATAGCTGTACCCATTCTGTCGAAAAGCTCCCGTCTCAGTCCTCAAGGTTCAGCATTGCAAAAAGTGATGAAACATAAAATTGTGAAATCTGGTTAAATTGAGCACATTTTGACTGCCTTTAAACAATATCAATGATTGCCGATGGGACAAAGCAAAATGATCTTGTTTTTCAAAAGATACAAGAAATGTCTCCTTTCGAATGAGAAAATAAAGCCACAGTTCTTGAAAAAAGACTTAATGGCTTTGTCCCATCGGCAAATCTTGTTGTAAAAAGGTCAGAATGTTCTCAAATTAAAATAAAAACCACTCGATCATACTATTTCATTTTTTTGCAGTGAAGGTTTCAACTTTATTGTCCTCTTTAGGGACATTTGTCTTGGAAACAAATATTCAACAAGACAATCTCAACGTCAGAACAATTGGCTCATGGGCACGACATCAACCCAAGGATACACAATAATATACTTGTAAAATATCACATACCAAAACAGCATTTATACAATAAGCAACAAAGTACATACAGTGACTAAAGTGCTGATGCGGTGCAGATTAAGAACATTGCACATTCCCAAGGTGCATGTGCAGTTGGAAAAAACCTAAAAGCATTGCACGCACCCAATTACAGAAAAACCCAGAAGATTGTCCATTCATTAGTTTTGGCAATTTCTCAAATGAAAAAAACTATCTTTCCAATCACATGACTGTGCTTGCAGCCGGTGATTTTCAAATTTGTAAAATAAAAAACACATTCAACATCTTTCACCATATAATATCTACTTAAGATATTGTTTCTCATTCTGAAAACTTGAAAAGACAAAGTTCATGGCAACTGACGGATTCTATTTTTACTATTTTTAATGCACTGTCGCTTTTTATGATTTCAATCCCATGTGTGATTCATGTTTTAATGTTTTTAGTTACTTGTGGGATTTTATTTTTATGTTTTTAATATTTATTGTGATCTTAAATGGTGTTTTAAATGCCCTGTGAGATTTGATTCATATTTTTGAATGTGTGTGTAGTTTTTAATATGTATGATTTATACTTGATGTGATATGGGATCTGAGGCGTTGTGTTGCCTTGTGTAGGAAAGGGGCTCTACTAATAAAAGTTGATTTGATTGATTAATTAATAGTGATATTATGATTCTTATATGTCGTCTTGTTATGGTCCTCTTCAGATTCATCCCTGGGCCTTGGGAGTCCTGCAGCAGATCCTGTGGGGCTGGTGTTCAACGTCGAACTGTCAAATGCCAAGTCCTGCTGTCCTTCTCCCAGACCGTGGCGGATCTGCCGGAGGACGAGTGCGAGGGGGTGAAGCCGGCCCAGACCCAGGGCTGCTACAGGACGCCCTGCTCTGGAGCCGAGGACCACGAGGACCCAACGGAGGAGACTTCAGAGAGGGAAGAGCTGCACGACTGGGAGTACGAAGGCTTCACTGAGTGCTCTCAAAGCTGCGGGAGAGGTCAGAACTCAGAATGCTTAAAGGCCACTGTCAAGTTTTGGATTAGTTCGATTCGAGCCTGGGAATCCAACTTTCTAACTATAAAAAAATAAATCTAAGTCATAAATCCTATTTAAATAGTTCCTGGAAGCATTATCCCTTGTTTTCACGTGTTGCTCTTAAGATATACAGTTCCCTCCAGGATTTTGTGTGCAATTTTTGTGATTGTTGCGGAGTAAAATGCTTGATTTTGCTGGACTTCATTTTTAAAGTTGTAATCGCAAGTTGCAATTTTTCCCCCTTGTAAAATGGACTTTCCTTACAATAAAATTACCTTTTACGATCAAATATGAATCCACAAATAAAGTAAACAAGATCATTTACCAAAAACAGGCTTTATTGACATAATGCAAGATACAATTGATATTATTGTTATAGATCCATGCTCTGGTATAATTGACCAAAGTTGTGCTGTTTGACCGGTCACCTGGAACCACGTACACGGAAGGAGGAGAGTTTGGACTCTGATTTTGCGGCGTTTGCTTGATTTTGCGTTAATATTTACGATCACAACATTGCAAAATTCTGAAGGGACTGTATATATATAAAACCAGCAAGTGGGTGAAGTGTCTTGCTTAAGGACACAACTATAGAGGCCTCCCATCACAGCACTAACTAGGCCCTGCCCTGCTTAGCTGAGATCTGACGGGATCAGGCTTTCGCATACAGACAGAAAAGTACCCTCTCTTAGCCCTTAGTTACATGTATGCAAAATATAATGTGTTATCTATGAGTTGTGTACAAGGTTTTACTGTTTATTATTTATGGGGGGGGAAAGTTAGGTATCCCAGCTTTAAACGCCTACTTTTTGTATTTTCAAAACGGAAACCTCTTCAAAATATGACTTTGGATTATTGCTTCAGCCTCTTTCAGTTCCCCCCAGAGCACATATTGTATTGTATATTCTGAAGTCTATTCCACTTGACAGAAACTCGGTACAAGTGAAACTTTTAGGTGATAAAGGCGTTCTGTAACCTCACCCATTCTGTGCTGACTCCAGCCTCAGACACTGACAGCCGACCTAAACACTCCGCCATCTTTATTTTAGATTCTCTTTGATCTGCGTTGGCCTTGTGCGCCTGCTTTGTGTGTCTCCAGCTAACTTCATTACTTCATGGGCGTAGCTTCGATTGTGTTTTGCCCAAACTCAACAAACTCTTACACGTGTCCCATTTCAGGTCAAAACTTCTGTGGACCATCACACGCCGAAGGTCTCTGTCATGTCTGTAATGTGCATCAATATCGTCTTTGTTAAAGATATAAAAAAACAAAAAACATGTGAAATCAAGGTCTACGTTTTTGTTGTCTCAGAGGACTTTACAAAGTTGTTCATTCGTCAAAAGCAAATCAGAGAATCAAGCAGTTTGAAAACAGGAGATGCAATGACAACAAACCATCGGTCCAAAGGGAGATGGCTGAACAATGTCCATTAATTGTACATAATATATCCGAAAAGCCTTTTTTTTGCCCTTAACATGTTTGCACACTTCTGTCTTTTGCACAAACCTTGAGTGATTCTATCCAGGCCAAATGTGACGTGTACATTTATCCTGTGTGAGATCAATAAAGTCTATCTTATCTTATCTTATCTTAAACTTAAATAATTGTCCATAAATGTCCTTAAATGTTAAATCAACGTTGGCATTAGACCTTCCTACATCAGCAAAGAACGACTCAAAAGCCCAGTGGGGAAAAAGTTTGAATCCTTGGGGAGGCCCATATTGACAGGCCATGGATCCAGGACTCAGTTTGATATTTTTTTGTGCATTAAATTACAAGTAATTCAAGTTTTGTATTTAATCGTTAATGGATTTAAGTTTCTTTTTACAAACTTCCATTATGGACACAATTCTTAGTATATCCTTTTTAAAATAAGGGAAAATTAATAAAAATGTCTTGGATATTGGATGATACATTCATGATGTAGAATTCTATTTCAGCTGGAGAGCAGGAGCCAGTACAACTCAAGCCGTTTTTGAAAGATTTTCTGAATGACAGACGAAGAAAATGTCATATTATTCCTATGTCTGCTGCCCGTCATCATGAATATGTTTCTGAATGTTGTCACCACTTCTCGACACATTTATGAGGAGATAATTATACCATAGTTGATGTGTGTAGACAAAGAAGACGTAGATCATGAACTTTGTTATTTCACGTGGATTGGCCCAGGAATTTAAGAGCTCCAAACTAAGACTAGAAATTGGACTTTTGACAGCTACCATAGTTACCAGGAAAGACTTTTCAGCTGTCCTTCTCCATGATTTTACACTTAAACACAAGCTATTGTTATCAAGTAAATTTAGAATCCTTTTTTTCCACAAAACTCTAATCAAACTGATCCCTGCTTTGTCAATTATAACATTCAATCCCATATTCAATTGCAATGAATATTTTTACTGGTTTTACATAACCTTTTGATTAAAAATAGACTTTTAAGGATACCATATGTGTTTTTAAACAGGTATTCAAGAGGCCATTGTCATCTGCCTGAACAAACAGACCAGAGAAACAACAGAGGAGAGTCTGTGCGAGTTCTCCAGAAGACCTCCACAACTCCTCCAGGACTGCAACACCCAGCCCTGCCCCTCCAGGTCTGACCAACACACACACACACACACACACACACACTTTTAATGACTGCAGAAGAGGACGGAAATGAGCAAATCTATGATCAAGTCTAATTTCAAATGCTTCCGAAGACACCGTCCGACTGATAGTGATGCTGAGTTATAGTGACAGAGATGGATGTAGTGTCATTGTGGAGGAAATGAAGTCAGCTGGACGCTCCACGGAGCCTGGTCACAATCACCAAACAATGGGATAGAGTGTCAGAGGAGCTGGGCTTGCTAAGGCTGTAAGATATTTCGTCTTATACACTGCATAGATGCTCGCTAATAAACCACTGGTGTTTGCAAGTTAGACAGTGTGCGGGTGTCATCCTTTCTTTTACGTCTTATACACTGCAAAAAGGGATGAAAGATTAGTCAAAAATTGCTCTAATTTGTATCTGTATCTGAACACATTAAGATGTTACAAGCACAATTATCTTGATTTAGAAACGATATAAGAAATGCCTCTCTTGGAATAAGAAAATAATACAACAGTTCTTGAAAATTACTAAATGGCTTTGTCCCATTGGCAAATTTTGTTTTAAGATTCAAATTATGATTAAAAAAACCACTTGATTCAAAAAATTATTATTATGAATTATTATTAATTCATATTTTTTGCAGTGTAGTGAAAGAAGTATTAGTAACAAGAGGTGGTGAGTAGTCATTTTTTTGCAGTATGTTGAATTGTGTGGTGAATTTTTCTATCTATTTTCGAAAACTGTCAAACATGATGTTATACAGAAGGAAGTCATGTTTATTTATATTGCACATTGTACAGACCAAGTGGATTTTTGTGTGTATCTCCTGCGTTGCGTGTATCCTCCAACAACATCATTTAACATGAGAGTTACTTTTATTAAAAGTACGTAATTCAGAATAAGTTTGTGGCCTGTATGATTAGTCCATAGGACAAGCACAGTCTTCCTGTAGCCCCCGGCCCTGCTCCTGCCCTGCTCCTGCCCTTCAGCGCGGCGTCCTCTGCAGCTGTATTTTACAGTGTATGCACGTCAGGTTTGATATCTCTGCGATGCACTGATTAGATCAGTGTAAAAGTGTGTGGTGATGGGTTTTACAGCCTTAAAACATACAGCTGCTACTTTCCAGATTTCCCTTATCACAGGTCACACCACTGTACATCATTTAAAAACTGTTGATAACCTTTGTTATATTACAGTTCATGCATCTATTAGTGATATTTGGAAAAGGTCCTAGACTCAAGGACCCAGGACTGACATTCACTGCCTCACCCTCAGTGTAGTGCTCCTGGATGCAGAACTAACAGATGATTTCATTCCTGTTGCCGTTAGTATCTTAAACCAATCATTGTACATTTTTGTATGATGTGTATTTATATACAGTATAGTATTGTTTCTGCTGCATCCAAATCGCCCCACAAAGAACCCTTCAATTAGAAACCTTGAACTCATCAAGCAGGTTGTGGGTTCAAAACCCTGATTTGAACAGGGCCTTTCTGAGTGGAGTTTGCATGTTCTCTCTGTGTGTTCATATGGGTGGTCTGATTTCCTTATCCAGCTACACCGTGGCGATCACTGCTGACAGGACGTCCTCTCCTGGAGGAGGGATGAGTCAACTGCAGAGGAATAATGTTGCTATGGAGACAATAAAGTATAACTTAGCTCACAATGTCATCCAGCCAACTTCAGCTCTGCTAATAGACCCGTGTCACATATCATTACAAAGCTTCTGGAAGTCTGAATCTAGTGAATAAAATAAGCTATAATCAGGTAACTTCAGTTTCACCAAATGTACATGTTCAACCGAAACCAAAAAATTGCATTGTTTCCAAAATATCAACAATTGTTCATTCCCTACAGAAAATAGCAGAATAAAGTTGTAACATTTCACAAAAACAAACCTCAAAACCATATGATTTATGCTTAGTGTGTATTTGTAAAATACTGAAGGAACACCAAACTGTGAAATACAACGGTGAGCTTTGAGATATGGTCTGCAGCAGGAAAGGATAGATGAAATATTTCTTTTACATATTGGAAAATTATATTTGACTGCATTTATAACACTACACTGACATCTCGATAGACTTTTTATAGAAGCAATAATGCATTTAAGAGAAAGGTCAGTGTTCCTCCTCTGGGAGCAGTATTTCCCATTAAACTAAGGCCATATGTTAAAAAGGAAAAACTCTCGGAGAGATATAGTGCTCATACTGATATTAGTCCCCGGTGGTGAGGCGGAGAAATGCATAAAGACTCTCCTTTGGGTGCAATATTTTTATTTTCAGACCAAAGACTGATTGTATAAATACATTTGGATATTAGTGATATAAATCTAAGGTTGTGCGTGTATCATTTACTGTCATAAAACTAGAAAGTTGGAGGAAGTTTCAAGAAGAAGTCACATCTGACATGGACTTACATGGATTGTTCAAGTACTTTTGGACTAGGCTCTATAGTGGGAGCTTTGTGAAGATTTTAGACTATCTGCTCACTCTCCTGGACTTAATTTGTAGCCGTAAATGCGTAAGTAATTGCCTAAAAATGTAAGTAGCTTCACATGAGGCCGATCTGTGCATAATGTTGCGGTGGACCACACGTTTCAGGTTAACACCATGTGCCGTTGCGAGTGTGACCGCTCACACTCTGTCCAAAAGCCCAGGGGCCGACCGCTCGCTCTCAGCTGTTTTTTCAAGCCTTCAATCTTGTTTTTAGGCACAACAAACGCTGTACTGGACGTGTTTCTTTTGGCCACACTCCCTCCCACAGGCCTCTTCACCCTCCCATATTAAGCTGCTCTGCTTGGATACTGTTCCCCCCTGAAAGCGAAACAACCATTGGATTTGGCTTGGAGTCGTAACGGTCCAGAAACAAGCCCCATTCCCAATTCTCCTCAGTCCTACACCCCAGAGTAAATATGGATAGCTCTAAAATATGACCTAATCTGTCAAGGCTAAAGTAAAGTTCCTGCCATAGCCGCACAGTCGGACACAGTGAGCTAAAGTTGAACATACTAAGCCATATCAGTTTCAGGCTAGAATAGTAAACGTGTCTTATTAATCCCTCCTTGGACAACAGTGCAGAGAGAGAGCGACACAGGTCAGAGGCTAAAAGGCCTGTCACTGGGATGTGTGATATCACAGTGTGCAAAGAGCTGGGCTTCAGGAATGAGCTTCTCCCAAATGTTTTTCTATTTTGTGAATGTACTTGTTCAAGAGTTTTCTCTGGGGGTTGTTGAAAAAACATATACTGCCCGTGTCTATATGTTGAGGATAAAGCCTGAAATAAATCTACACTAACAATAAGAGCTGTGACTAATCAGAGGGAGGAGGATGAGGGCTTTGAGGCATGTCACAAAACTAAACCATGTGTGCGGCGCTGACAGCTCCAAAGCTGCCAGTGCTTATCTTTGCATTGTGCAGCTACAGTTTGGCAGTAAACACTGTGTTCGCAGGTGGGACACTGGGGAGTGGAGTTCATGCTCTGCTACGTGTGGCGTGGGGCTAATGACCCGCTCTGTGGCCTGCACACGCCGCCCCTCCATGGGGAGTAACCTGACAGAGGTTCTGAGGCCCGAGGACTGTCCCAGCCCCAAGCCCAGCCCAGTGCAAGCATGCAACCGCTTCGACTGCCCGCCCATGTGGGAGACACGTGACTGGGGCAAGGTGAGGCCAGTAAACATGTGATTATAAGTGATGCATTTAGGTCCTGTTGATATAATTCAGGTGATCCCATCTAAAGGAACTGGCACCTCTGTATGTGTTTGCAGTGCTCGCAGACCTGTGGTGGAGGAGTTCAGAGGCGGCAGGCTCTGTGTAAACAGCGTTTGGCAGATGGCAGCATTTTAGACCTGCCAGAGACCTTCTGCCCCTCAAAGAGACCCATGACTCAGCAAACGTGCGCCCGGCAGGACTGCCCCGCCATGTGGGTCACCACTGAGTGGTCACAGGTAAAGTATTATCCACATTAATTATGCACAACCTTTTGTAAGAGTATAAGATTATTCTCTTTTATCTTCAGTGTTCGGTGTCCTGTGGCACCGGGGTACAGCGGCTTCAGGCCGTGTGTCGGAAACAAGGAGAAGATGGTCGATATCGCACCATTCATCACACAAACTGTTCCCAGATCGCTCATCCCAACAGCGTCAGGCCATGTTCCTTCAGCCTCTGTGAAAGTATGACGTTGCATTACATTCAAATATAGATAATAGATAACGATGTAATCCTTATTAAATCAGTGTGTTGTTTGACAGATTCAATCAAGCCAGGTCCTGCCAACCAACCGCCAAAGAAGGTTAACATCCAGTGGAGAAAGGGCAAAAAGTTGCAGTTGTTGGTGGGTGGCTTTGCTTACATGCTCCCCTGGACCCCTGTAGTCCTCCGCTGTCCCACTCAGCGCTTCCACAAAGGAAACATCCAGTGGTTGAAGGACGGAAAACCTTTATTCAGCCTCACCCACCTCTCCATCACTTCTTTGGGCTTTGTGAAGATTTATCATCTGCTTCCATCTGATGCTGGAGTTTACACATGCCTTGACGGCCAAACACGGGAACATTTAGTCTTGAAGATAATCGGTAGAAAGCAGAAACTGTCGCTGCCTGAAGCTGCTGTGTCAAAGCTGAACGGACCGGGCCAGACAAAACTACATATTTCCTTATTAAACCACTATGACAACATCGTGGAGCGTATCCTGGAGCTCAAAGGATCTTTGCAGGATGGGAAACATTTTGATAAGCTTCATTTAAGTGAAAAGAACAGATCGACTTTGGAAGATGAAAGCGGGAGATCAAAGCGGTCTGGACCGGTTGTCCTTATTGTTGATAGCCACAAGCTAGATGAGATAATCCACAGTCAGTCTGGAGAGGAACAGCTAGCCCACCTGCTTAATGAGCTAACCAAAAAACACAGTGAAAGCAATGAGTCAACCCTGTATCCGGAAACAGCCACTCAAATACCTCTCTATCAGAATGTCAACGTGCACACGCTGAGGCCGAGGAGACCGGTGATCATCCAGCAGCCTCAGAGACCAGGAGCAGCGCCACCTGCTGCTGAGAAAACAGTGCACGTAGGGCAGCCGGTGCTGCTGCAAAAACCAATAGCGAGTTTGGAGCTGAAATGCAATACGTTGGGGAATCCACCGCCAATAGTAAAATGGACCAGAAATGGAAAAGGACTGAACTACAACGGCAGGTAAAGATGAGAAATATTTCTACACATTGTAAATATGTAGAAATGTCTATATGCAAATACAGTGATCACTTATTCACTGCATACACATACACAGTAAACATATCTACACTAATCTAACATCTTTTAATCCAATTTTGTAATATTTTAATACAATTAGGGATGATATAGTGATTATGGGTTAAGTTACTGTACATAATCCCACTTTGCCTTAAGCCCCTGCTGAAAGATCCCAGCTCCTGTGGACTCACCACCTGCTGGAGGATCATTGAGGGGCTGGTGCTATGTGTGTGCAGCTCTGACTGCCACCCCTCGACCCAGAAATGGAAAAAGGGGAAGAAAATTAATGGATGGATGGATAGTGATTTATTATTTAGTTGCAATTCCTTCTTTTTTTCTTTTTTCTCAATAATCAACAAATATTTTGGTAATGCAGTGCTTACAATGTGACTTCAGCACTCGATCAGGATAGTGCTTTCAAAAGAGAAATGTTTCAATGTCTGGTTTCTAAAACTATTAAGCTCTCCTCCAGCAGCTTATTTTCAACTTTGCTGGACCAATTGATAAATCTCATGACTAATTGGTTGAAAATATTTTTTGGATGGTTACAGGCCCTAGTTACGAGCCCTTCAATGCTTCACTCTACAGGCTAATTTACATACCTACAATATGATTTATTTAGTAATGGCTTAGCTGGGGTGCCTAACTTTCTAATCACTTATATATGGATAAAATGCATTCATTTTCAGCCTCTGCCACAGCTTTAGATCCGCTTTTTCAGACAGAAAAGCAAAAACTGGGGACCACTCTCACTCAGCTGATCATCCCAAAGTGTCAAGTAGTGACTCACAGGGCTCTCTTTTTTCACTTTTGACTTTCAAGTCGCTTTCTCTTGTTATTTATGAAACTAAAAGTTAGAATCCTCAGCTTTAAAGTCTTGATGAAATTTACAACAATACAAGCATAAATAAATGTTTGTATTGTTATATATTTATCTATGTATCTACAAATAGAAGAAAAAGTACATCAGCAATATATTTTTTTACATATGCCAGATTTGAGCCTTTGGGGTTATACATTCAAACTGTAACCTAAAAGTGTCACCCATTGTTATGAAATGCATTGTTTATTGTTCCTATTGTGACACTGTTGTTGTTTGTTTTGATAGAATATTCACTTTGTCCACTGGTTCACTAAAGATACTACTCCCAAGCAAACAAGATGAAGGGCTTTACACCTGCACCGCAAGGAACCGCCTTGGGGCCGCTACTCTTTCATCTTGGCTGAAAGTGAACGGTGAGAATACTGTATCTTTGAAAAAAATAAGTTGGTGGGAAGGAAAACCAACGTGAGAAGAAACTCGACGTCACATCGAGTTTGTACTTCCATATCTGCTGTAGTTGTTGTAGACCTTTTGTGGTTCTGGGTAAATCATTCTGGGAAGGGGTTGTCTTGAGCTGGGAAACGCAACACATGGAGAATCATAGAGTTTCTGCCGTCAGTGGCTGTGATTCAGTGTTGGGGAATGTCCGGTTCTGGGTCACCTCTGCACTGTCTCCTTCTGATTATTCAATGCTCCTGCACATCCTCCGCACATATGACAACAATTATTGGGGCAAGATTCACAAAAAGATAGCCTAGCGTGCAGACATCGGGGCGTGTACTGCTGAATAATAAGTGCGCGGTTTTGATCTTTCACTTTCCTTGCATTTATCATCAAAGCGACGCTCTTATACAATGCTGTTTTATGTTTTGCAGTGGGAAAAGGCAAAAGCTGTGCCCATGGTCATACGTGTAACAGCAGTCACGTGGAGCCGCTGTGCACCGGGCAGGCCTGCTCTTTCAGGTACATTTGTTTACAGCTGTTTGCATTGGCGAAACTATGCTAATGTCATAGAGAAGGGTTGTCTATGGAGTTGTTATGTACAGTAATGTCTGTTACCTCCGCCGCTCTGAATTCTGAAAGTGAAACAAATATGAAAGTACACCTTAAAAACACATTGGTTGTAAAAACTACCATCTAAACTGATTTTCAATTAATTTGCATTTATTTTTGTATTGTACCAAAATCACAACAGCAATCATCTCAGAGAACTTTACAATTACTCCACAACAGATCAGAAAATCAGGGTTAGGGTCAGTAGCAGTAACAGTTAGAACAGAGGAAATGCATCCACACCAAACACTGCCCTTGGTCCATAGGGAGCGGGATGACTACTGCCCATAAATGTTAATAAACATCTATATTAAATGTCCTGGATCATCACCGTCCTCAGACCCTCCAGCATCGACAAGGAACAACTCAAAAAACCCAGTGGGAAAAAAAGTGAGAAACCTTGAAAAGGCCCATATTTTTAGGTTTATCTATTTCTTTGTTTTGTTTGTATGGATGGATGTGTTTCTGCTGCTACTGGACCCCTGAATTTATCATACGGGATAAATAAAGGATCTATCTATTGAAAGAGGATCTAGATTCAGGACTCGGGTTTCAGAACATGGACTCAGTGCAGTTATAAAAAAGTAAACAAAAAAAAAATAGTTATAAAGGCTTGCATGAAAAACCTATATACAATTTTAACATATGGATTCACACAATAGACATTTAACAATGAAGATTATTGACAAGTGACCAGATTTATGAGATTATAAAGTGACAGATGTGTTGATGCCCAAGTGCATTGAATGTGCAGTTATATATAGGCAATTTTATTTGTATAGCACAATTCATACACAAGGCAACTCAAAGTGCTGAACAAGATAGCATTAAAATCATAAATTATCACAGAACATTAAAAAGAAAGATACAAATATAAAATCCCTCAGTTGTATGCACAGTTAAACAGAACTGTCTTTAACCTGGTTTTAAACATTGTCAGAGAGGAGGCCTGTCTCACATCTTCAGGAAGACTGTTCCAGATTTTAGCAGCATGAATCTGAAAAGCAGCCTCCCCATGTTTAGTCCTGACTCTGGGCACTAACAGGAGTCCAGTCCCTGTGCTCCTCAGAGTCCGGGCTGGTTCATATGGGACTAACATGTCACTAATATATTTTGATGCGAGGCCATTGAGAGATTTGTAACAAGCAGAGCTGTTTTAAAGTCTATTCTCTGAGCCACAGGAAGCCAGTGCAGAGACCTGAGGACTGGACTAATGTGGTCGTACTTCCTGGTTCTTGTCAGGACTCGAGCTGCTGCATTTTGAATGTACTGCAGCTGTTTTACAGCCTGTTTGGACAGACCTGTGAGCAGGCCATTGCAGTAGTCTAACCTACTGAAGACAAATGCAAGGATAAGAATCTCCAAGTCTGCTTTAGACACTATGTTTTTGATCCTGGCAATGTTTTTTAGATGGTAAAAAGCTGCTGATGATACTGATTTGATGTGGCTATTAAAATTTAAGTCTAAGTCAAGTATTACCCCTAGATTTCTGACCGGGTTTGAAGGTTTTAGGGAGAGAGACTGTAGGTGACAGATGACGCTCTCTCTTTGTTTCTGGGGACCAAAGACAATCATTTCAGTTTTGTCTGCGTTTAGCTGAAGGAAGTTGTTTTGCATCCACTCACTGATCTGTTGGATGCAGTGAAGGAGTGAGTCCACTGGTCCATGTTCTCCTGCAGTCAGTGAGACATAGATCTGAGTGTCGTCTGCATAGTTATGATAGGAAACTTCGTTTCTGCGTATTAACTGACCTAAGTTACATATAGTTACAATTACCTGACTTTCAAACCACACAAAAATGAACTATGTATTAGTTATTACATAGTTTATTTTTTTCATAAATAAAAGTGAAAAAGAAAGAACCACCTTCACTCAGCTCATTAGAATGCAAAAGATAAAATGTTTTCTCATTTCTCAAAATGAGAAGAATGGGTTTATGAAACTAAACAAAGCATTATCTACTCCAGCTTGAATGGATGTGTGTTTTTGGTAGATGGCAGGTCGAACCATGGTCCCAGTGCTCGGCAGCTTGTGGAGGAGGGTCCCAGCACAGGAGAGTGCGATGTGTGACCGGTCCAGACGACAGAGCCAGAGAAGTGGGCAGCCATCACTGCAGCGGGCGCAGCCCTCCAAACACACGCCTGTGCAACATGCTGCCCTGTGCCCGCTGGGCCACCACTCCATGGGGACAGGTGAAAGAACACAACAGCTAAAAATACATATGTAAAGTATACATTCATACATAATTTTGAAATCTCTTCACCGGCTTCCAGTCTGTTGTAGAAGAGACTTTAAAGTACAAGGCACAGAATGGTCTTGCCCCAAAATTAAGTGCATGATATTTGTTCCATATGAAATGGTATCATGTTCTAGAAACCTACCCACAACAAGTCAGTACCCGGGGAAATTCCTTGGTAACCATGCCTTCCAGCAGCACTGGTCAATCACTGTCTTTTTGAACAGTTTAGTACCAGCTTGGCCTGGTAAGAACCATAGCCAAGCAGGTACAAAGGAATACCTGATACCCGTTTAACAGGGTCAGTGGAGTAGAGCTGAGTAGAGCTGAGTAGGACCAAGTAGGGCTGGTGGAAACGGGGCTTAAGTCTCCCAAACATAAGGACATAAACGAGTGAGGCATCATTTTGTTTTATGCTCAGAATATTTAATTGTTTTGTTCTTGTTCATGTTCTTTTTCCTCCGAATCTGGATTGTTTCATTACCATGTGGATAAAAACACCTAAAAAACAAATCAGCATTTCCTGGAGATCTCCCACTTCTTCTGTTGCACTGTCTACTATCACATCCTGTCTGTACAGTGGGAGGATTCATTTTCTATATTCAATTTAAACAGATAAAAAAAATCTTCAGATTCTTCAGACATTTAAATTAACTTAATTGTTGAAGTTTGTATTAATCAAACTGTTGACACCAATATTTTCAGTTACTGTAAATGAATAACATTCACTGCCTCATTCCCCGTCCTAGAACCTGAGGTTTCTCAAGTTTTGTTGTTGTTCCTTGCTGATGCAGGAGAGTCTAAACACAGGACTCACGGGACATTAATGAATATTTGTGAACACAGAAGGACATTGGTCGTCCCGCTCCCCATAGACCGATGACTCCTATGTGTTTGTTATTATTGCATTTGCTGTGTTCAAACTCTTTGATTGTTGGTGAATCAACAAAGTCCTTTGAGACGACTACTGTTGTGATTTAGAGCTCTACAAAACTAAACTGAGGTTAATTGAATGAATGTCGGCTCTGTATATCGTTTATCACCACTACTTACTGGTATCATCTGAGGGGAAACCATATCGGTCAGCCTCTAACGTACATGTTGTTGTTGCAGTGCCACGGTCAGTGTGTCGGGTCGAGTCTGGCCACACAACACCGCCATGTCTACTGCCAGAACACAAGTGGGACCAAAGTCTCCTTCAGACTCTGCACTGGACTTCAGAGGTAAACATCTTTATTGTACGTTCAACTGTTTATGAATTGTTATTAGCCAATATTTAAAGCTAACGTATCTAACTTTCAAACAAAATTAACTGTACTAAAATCCACCTACTTTATGTGGCTTTTAAAACATTATGCTTCTATCACTAGTTTTATTATTTGGCCTCCGTCTCACTCAGCCAATCAGCTCTCAGCCCAAATGGTCAATTAGTGACTCACATGGTTTTCTTACTATCAGCCAAATATACATTGTGTGGATGAATGTATTTATATGATTCTATCCCTAACAAATCCTTTAGATTCTCATTGTACCACTCTGACACCACACTACTTTTTAAACTAAAGCATTGCCCCTGAATTAGTTTCTTAGTGAAATGACGATCTCTACAATCACATGTATGAGTTTGCAGTCTACATTTTTCTAATTTGGAAACAAAACAAACAATTCAACTCAGTTCAAGTGTTTATTTGGGCATTTAGAAGACAAAACATTAATATATATAAGAATTCTCCTCCCTCTGGTGGTAGCATATGGAGTTACACATAATTGATGCATCCGTCACCATATATTTTCTGTCCACGATATTTCACATTATAAAACAATAAATTATAAACCTGTATCCTTATAATTTTCGATGGACAAAAAAATAATTCATAATATTTCTCCTTTAAGACCGATCTCTGTGAAGAACTGCTCAACTGATGCCTGCGCCCTCCAGTGGCGGATAGGTCCGTGGACACAGTGCACGGCCTCCTGCGGGCGCCATGGGTTCCAGTCGCGGCTGGTCAGCTGCGTTCACCGACGGACGGGGAAGACCACGCGCGAGCATCACTGCATGTGGAGGCCCCGCCCCTCCAGCTGGCAGAGGTGCAATGTCCTTTCCTGTGGCAGAGGTGAGGACGACGCTGTTAAAGCCTTTCGCCATTTATTAAAGCTGGGGTACCTCACTTTGTTCTCACAGGAAGTCTCATGTAAAATAATAATAATCTAATCAGACCACCAACTATCTCATTAGAACACTGCAAAAAGTGATGAAAATTATGTAAAAAATTGCTCAAATTTGGAAAAGTGTAGATTTAAGATTTGCGAATGGGACAAGTGAAATTATCATGTTTTAAAAAGAGGAGAAAAAGCTTTTGAAGAATTTACTGCAATTTCAGAATATACTCAGATTAAGATTATAAACACTTGATTCAAGCCTTTATTACTTATTTTCTACTTTTTTTGCAGTGAACATCTCATTTTTTCTACAGTCGAACAAACATCTCTAATTCAGTTTGAACAAATATAGTATTACAAAATCCAACAGAAGTAAATACAACACCCTGACTAAACAAAGGATTACTGAAAGAAAATCAACACAACCAAGAACGGAGGAGGGGATTAAATACAGAAGTGAGAGAGTCACCCGAATCATCACCAAAGGGGGAAATGCTAAACTGAAATAAAAGTATACTGTGCAGTGGTGTCCCTTTCCCTCTGCGACCAGTGCACTCTCGGACCACATTTTGCTAACATTTTAGAAAGAATCCTGTGAGTCACTGTTTGAGGCTTTGGGCTGGGAGGTCTTTTTTTTCACTTTCTCTGTCTGAAAAAGCTGATCTAAAGATGTGACAGAGGCCAAAAGTACATGTATGTGGAAACTGTTTTGAGAGTGAGGAAATAGAGACATAGGTGGTTGTGATTTGAAAGTTAGGCCCCCAAACTTGTATCTAAATAATGATTCAGACCTCAAAAACATGGGCTAAAAAAGTGACATTTCTGCCCGGGCGTGCAAACTTAGCAGCACATTTCTAGCTTGTGAATGCTGGTCAGTATGAGTCCGACTTGGCACAGTAATTACAGCATGCAGTGTACTTCAAATCATTTATAATACATCTTGTGTGTGTGTTTTTTTTTTTTTTCAGCAGGCGAATGTCTGGACAGCACCAGATACTGTGATAAGGTCCGGCAGCTGGAGCTCTGTCCTCTGCCTCAGTTCAAGAGCCGCTGCTGCCACTCTTGCAGAAAAACCTGAGACAAACCGGGACAGAAAAACTGGACTGAGACCGGGCTCCTCCACAGCGTGACTGAAGGAAGGACCCACACTCACAGACAGGGCAGGGCGTGGTGGGAGATGGACTGATGGACTGCTAATGAAGGCTTCGACAATGTGTTTTATTTTTCAGGCGCCAGTATTCCAAAGGGTGAAAAAAACGTTTTATAGCAGCACCTTACATTCATTGTGCAGTGTAAAATAAACCACATGTACAAAATACAAGGAAATGTGTTGAGTTTGCTGACAGACCCCTGTGTTAATCACTGGGTATTTTGCTTTTATTACAGCAGATCCAGATTTAATGGTAACTGTTTTGAATGGATTGGAGGAAAAGCAGCTTAAAAACCTCCAAGTCGTAAATGAGAAATAATGTTCACCTGGAAAAAGGCTCATGGCTCATTAGGTTCAGCAGCGGACGGTTCATTTCCATTGTTTCATGGTTTATGGCCAAACGCAGATTACACTGCAACAAATTATACAATATGAGGTAAGAATTGCTTGAATTGAGTGGTTTTTGTCTTAATTTGAGTTCATTATGACTGTCTCCAAACAAGTTTTGCCAACGGGACATAGCCATTTAGTCTTATTTCAACAACTGTTGCTTTATTTTCTCGATTCAATGGAGACTTTTCTTGTATCTTTTTAAAACAAGATAATTTTGTTCGTCCAATTAGCAAATCATTTTTTAAGGCAGTCAAAATGCGCTCAAATTAAGATACACTTTGCCAAATTTGAGTCATTTTTGACTCATTTTTCATCACTTTTTGCAGAGTTTGACTTCAGCTGCTTTTGCATGGGTTGCACTAATCTAATATAGAGGAGTCTGATTGCACAAAAACATTCTTTTTTGAGGAAAAAGAGACTTTTTGCACTCAGAACTCTGCTCGGCCTTTGTTGAGAACGGGGCTTGTGGAGGTGTTTTTAAAACTGTTTTGTAAGTACTAGTGTTGTTTTTATTTTTGTAAAACGTGTCTTAGAAAAGCATTTCTTTTAAAACCACTTAGTGACATAGTGACGTAATAGTCTTATGCTAACCGACATATTTCTTATTGAAACGCAAAACAAATAAGTGGGAATCACATCGGTAATCTGGAAAGCATCGCTGACCTGGGAGGTAAAATTGCACTTTGGTTTGAAAATGTCATGTAGTTATGAGATGAAAGTGAATACCGCACACGTTTATCAGAAGGGTACGTGTTCTTCATTGAATAAAATGTTCTATGTTGTTTAAATTATGTAAACAATATTTTTGTTTTATTTATTTGAGTGTATGTCTTGTGTATATACATGTAAATATCAAATGCCTGAGTATTCTCATCCCTAGATTGAATGTATATTAATGTTATGGGGACCCCTGCTGGTGACATGATGCATTATTCTGATGATTTGTGGAAAAGCATTCAATAAAATGAATTACATTCCTATTGCAGCTGTGTCTGTTTCATGCATTTCTTTCAAATACACATGAACGACAATCAAATCAATGTTGGTGTCGCAATGTGGGGTTGGAATAAAGCAGGAATAATAGGTATGAGTAAACTGAAGCTAAATAACTATTAGTGTATAAGTTGTAACAGTTGATTTATTTATTTATTTGAACAGTTTTAATACTGCACAAAAGGAGTGGGCTGAAGCAAAGAGCTCATTAGCACCGCACCCCCAAAGTCAATTACAATCAAACTTTGCAAATTATGATGAAAATAGTACAGAACAAGGATATAAAGGCACACACAAGAGCTACATCTGCACATCCTGAATTATAGAATAATCAATAATCAATTTACAGAATATGTTATGACATTGACTTTGACTTCACTGACCAGAGAGAAGCCAGAGCCTCGCTGAGAAAAGGACAACATTGATTTTAAGTTTACGTTTCAAGGCAGTTTCAGTAATACTAATTTGAACTGGGGCGACAGTAGCTCAGTTGGTAGAGCATTGGCCTTTGAGCCTGAAGGTCGTGGGTTCGAGCCCACCACGAGACCCACTTCACGACTCCCACTGATGACAGCTGCCGTTGTATTCTTAGGCATGACACTTAACCCTACTTGCCTGAAGCCCCCGATGAAAAATTAAGGCTCCTGTGGACTCACCACCTGCAGGAGGATCAGTGAGGGGCTGGAGCTCTGTGTACTGGGGGCAGCTCTGACTGACCCAGAAATGGATTAAGGGGAAGAAAATGGATGGATAATTTGAACTGTTCATCTTATTTGCAGAGTGAGACACAACAACAGTCTGGTGAAGACAGATCTCCACAAAGCAAGAGACACAATATCACCATATAATTATTTCAGATATACTGACAACAAGTTCCTGTGAACAGATTAAACCCATTTCGCTCAAAGAAGAGATATTGCTGATAGAAAGCAGAGTATTATTCACAGAGTAGGCAGTGACCAGGCGATAAAAAGCCAGTGTGTAAAGCAGTTGGAGACGACAGTGACCCCTCACCAACAGACCCCGCCCAGCTTCCCTATCAGCTGCTTTCATAAATGAGACTTGAAATGTTCTTATCTTTCTATACTGTGTGATGCATTAAAATATGTGTGATCCCTTTGGGGGGAGGTACCACAGCTTGCCCTGATTCTCCTTTACTGTAACTTGAACAGCAGACATAAAGTAACTTCTGTTCCAAGCAGCAACGCTCAACCTTGAACAATTGACTTGCATTACACTCCCTGGTGATGACTCAGTACTTCTCTATATTTTCCTTTTGTTTGTATTTATAGTTGAACAAGGTGATGTTTGGACACTGCTCTAAGTTGTTGTATAAGTCTGTGTTTGTTATATTGGATTTAACAACATCATTGTTTGTGTTGAAAGATTACTGTTTCGATCATTAATGCACTGTTTGAAAGCTATTTAAGCAAGAAGCCTTCAAATTACTGCTCAAAACTGTTTATTTTAGCTCTTTGTTTATTTATTGTTGTTTCTTATTCACCGGTCCTTTTGTAAAACGTAAACGAGTGTCAAAAAATGCACCAACATGTATTAATATACTAGTACTCAAATAAGATGTAAGATACCACTGGAAATGATTTATCTGTTTGTGTGTGTGTGTGTGTGTGTGTGTGGGTGTGGGTGGGTGTGTGTGTGTATCGATAACTGTTTGTGGATGTCTGTCTGTCTGTCGATAAGTAAGTAAGTAAGTAAGTAAACTTTATTTATATAGCGCCCTTCACAGACCAGGGTCACAAAGCGCTTCACATAGTATAAAAACAGACATATAAATTAGACATACAAATTTTTAAAGGCCAAGACAACCATGTAAAAGAATACAGCAAGACCAACTTACGCAAAAGCCTGAACAAATAAATGGGTTTTAAGTTGACTTTTGAAGCACTCAACAGACTCAATAGAACGCAGAGAGAGAGCGGGAGAACGTTCCAAAGCTTGGGAGCAACAGCCTGGAAGGACCTGTCTCCTCTGGTCCTGAAGCGAGTGCGTGGAACCATCAGGAGGTTTTGATCCACAGACCTCAGAGCGATAACTGTCTGTCGGCCTGTCGATAACTGTCTGTCTGTCTGTCGAAAACTGTCTGTCTGTCGATAACTGTCTGTGTTTGTGGATGTCTGTCTGTCTGTCGATAACTGTCTGTGTTTGTGGATGTCTGTCTGTCTGTCTGTTGATAACTGTCTGTGTTTGTGGACGTCTGTCTGTCTGTCTGTCAATAACTGTCTGTGTTTGTGGACGTCTGTCTGTCTGTCTGTCGATAACTGTCTGTGTTTGTGGATGTCTGTCTGTCTGTCTGTCGATAACTGTCTGTGTTTGTGGACGTCTGTCTGTCTGTCTGTCGATAACTGTCTGTGTTTGTGGACGTCTGTCTGTCTGTCTGTCGATAACTGTCTGTGTTTGTGGATGTCTGTCTGTCTGTCTGTCTGTCTGTCAATAACTGTATGTGGATGTCTGTCTGTCTGGATAACTATCTGTTTGTGGATAACTCTGTCTCTCTGTTTGTGTGTCTGTCTTTCTGTGTGCGTGTGTGTGTCTGTCTGTCTGTCTGTGTGTTTGAGTGTGTCTCTATCTGTCTGTCTGTGTGCCTGTCTGTGTGTGTGTGTGTGTGTGTCTATCTGTCTGTCTGTCTGTGTTGTGTGTGCAAATCCTGACAGCAGTACAGGAAAAACCGGATGACCTTTATGTCACAAAGAGTCAGCTGTGGAATTTGATAATTGTGGTATGAGAAAATCACTTCTCCTTTTTCCTTTCTACATTGCACATCTTCTGTGTACTTCCTGATTTGTGTATTATTTGTGTCATGTTTTATAACCATCATTCATCAGCCTTGCCATAGAAGCATGAGGCTTCTCTGCATGACAACATTATGGTGGAAGTTGACGGCTCGTGTCTGAAGGCTTTACAGGTTCGCCGTGTGTCTCTTGTGGACCAGCTGGAGGCACACGTCGAGTCGCTTGTGGAGGACCTGCTGAACCACGGCGTGTTCAGCCGGGACGACAGGGAGCAGGTCTTGTCTCGGGCCGGACCCAGAGCCAGAGTGAGACAAGTGCTGGATATAATTCAGTGCAAAGGAGAGGAATCTGCGAAAGTTCTTCTCTTTCTTTCTAACAACTGCTTTCACCTGGGACCACAGACGGGACTGGGAGGGCCGTCGGCAGGTAAGTTCTATGTGTTACTTATATACAGTATATGGTTACACTACACCCCCAGCATTTTTTAAAACTGTTTGGCAAGGCAAGGCAAGTCATACACAGGGCAACTCAAAGATAGAAACAGTCACACAAGGCATTCAAATTCATATTTAATCACTGTACATTAAAAAGAGTAACAATCCCTCAGTTGTATGTTCTGCTAAAAAGAATGGTTTTAACTTGGATTTAAACATTGTCCTTTCCAATCATGGAAATGCATCCTGCAAAGGTATAATATACATGTATAACATTATGTATGTTATGAAGCTGCAACAGCATTTTCATGAAAGGAATATATTAAACTCCCAGAGCAGACATTTTGACGGCTCCGATTCAAATTAATGGAATTCTAAAAAATCCCCCCAAAAACGTTTTGGTTTTTCACTACTTTTTTTTAAATTAAGTGATTGATACGTTTCTGTTTTATTTTTATTTGTTTTTACCTTTATTGAATTCTAAAACTGGTGAATTTAACTGAAATACAACAACACAAAATCAGACAACAGTGTGTTGCTATGGTAACACGCACTTGCTCCAAAGTGAGATTGCTCTGAACCAGTCTAGGACCAGTCCAGGATAGAGATAAATTTATAAACATTATGACATGGAAAATAACTATATTTAGTCACAAAGTTATGAAGTTTATTAGACCAAAAACGCACATAAAAGAGTAATTAGACTTCCAAACCGAATAGCCGTCAAGTTTTGCTTGTTCTGTCAGTTCTATGACTTTTCCTCTCTTCGCGAGAGAGACTATATTTAAATTGGATACTAGAAAAATACATCTTTTTTTTTTATGCTCAATACTACAATATTAAAGCCGGGGTACCAAACTTACAAACTACTAGAAGATTGAATCATGTAATAAAATTGGTTCTATCACTAGTTTTCTCATACATGGATGGCCTCTATTACATATCAGATTTTTTCAAACAGAAAAACAAGTGAAAGAGAGAGAACAGTTTAGTCAAATAGTGACTCAAATGACTCTTTATTACAACTATGTAAAATATGTTTTCTTATAAGATGATCTTATTATTCTGGTTGTGTTGGAACAAATGAAATGCAAATAAAGTCAGGTCTGATTCTGTCTTTAAACAAAGTGGGAAACCCCCGAAATGTAATGTAATTAATAGTTACCTAATGTAACTTAAGTTCTACGAATAGGTGCGTAGTCCCTTAGCGGACTTCGCTAGTGGGATATCACGTGACCCCCAGGTCACAGACGCCAGAGAGATCAACAAAAAATGCTCCAATCACTAGCGACCCTCCCCTATAAAGGCCCCTGCTCCATAGCCGCGCCCCCTCTTGAACTCTGCCAAGCCGGGCTGGCCTGATGGGCACGTAGCTAAGGGACTACGCACCTATTCGTACAACTTAAGTTATATTAGGTAACTATTAATTCTACGTCATGGTGCTACGTCCCTTAGCGGACTTCGCTAGTGGGACACAACGCGGAGGCCGTAGGAACATGTACTCCCAGCAGGCCAGCGAAGAGTGATTGGAGCTCCGCCCGAGCAAGACCCTCACACAGTGAGAGGACTCAGGGCAGAAGAAGTAATTGCGTGTTACAGGGCCACTCCTCCCAAGGACACCCCCAAGTAACACAGACCGAAGGCCACCCGTAGTCCCAGGACGCCTCTCCCAAGAGCTCCTGACGTGGACTACCTGACTGACCAAAGCACACACATATATCGCACCTGCAGCACGCCACTCCCAAGAGCTCCTGAACCAAGGCGGAAAGTCAACCGTCGGCCCCTAAGAGGGGAACATAAAGGTTACAACTCAGTCTGCTGCACTAAGCACGGAATGGGCCACCGACCGGTCCGACACATCCAAAAGACCGGACGAAAGAAGAGGATGACGCCCAAGAAGCCGCACGGCACACGTCCTCGACCGACGCCCCCCTGAGGAGGGCCGTAGAGGCCGCCACCCCACGCATGGAATGCGACCTGAAACCCACCGGGGGAGCCAGACCCTGAGCCTGATACGCCCGCCGCACAGCCGTGGCGACCCAGTGCGCCAGCCGCTGAGCCGACAGCGGGGCGCCCCTGTTCTTGGGGCCCAGACACACAAACAGCTGATCAACCAACCTGAATGAAGACGTCATGGCCAGGTAATGCCTAAGCATTCTGACAGGACACAGAAGGTGCCGCCACTCCTCCTCGGGGGAGGCATGCGGCGGCGGATGGAAGGCCCTAATCCTGATCACTCTCGACCTGAAGGCTGACGTGATGACCTTAGGGAGAAAAGCCGGATTGGGCCACAACTCCACCAGGCCGTCACCCTCTCCAAAGGACAGGCAAGACGCATGGACGGAGAGCGCACACAAGTCGCCCGCCCTCTTAGCAGACGCCAACGCCAGCAAGAGGGCAGTCTTAAAAGCAACACACTCGGGACTCGCCTCCGCCACCCGGGGACCCTGGGGCCCGCCAGAACCTCCCTGGCTAGACGGGTAATCTTCCTCCGTCTGTCCTCGGACAATGCAGCACGGAATGTCACAGAGTCTAGCTGCAGGCCGAGATAGATCATGCGCTGAGCCGGCTGCAGCTTGCTTTTCTCCCTGTTCACCACAAAGCCCAGGCGCTGTATGTGGGACAGGACCCAGTGCGTGTGACTCACGGCCACTTCCCTGGGTGAGGCCAGTATTAACCAATTGTCTATGTAGGTTAATATTCTTACCCCTGCGCGTCTGAGCGGCTCCAGTGCCGCCTCCACGAACTTTGAGAAGGTCCGAGGCGCGAGCGCGTAGCCGAAGGGGAGACGGCAGTACTCGTAACTCTTCTCTCCCACTGCGAAGCGCAGGAACCTCCTGTGTTCCGGAACTATCGGCACGTGAAAGTAAGCGTCTGTCAGGTCTATGGAGGACATCCAATCTCCCTGCCTGACACACTCGAGGAGCTGTTTTGTGGACAGCATCCGAAACTGCCGTTTGGAAATGCACTCGTTCAAAGTGCGCGGATCCAGAATGGGACGCACCCCTCCTGACTTCTTTGGCACTAAGAAGTAAGGGGAGTAGAGCCCCCTGGCGGCGTCCTGTGGGTCCACCTCTACTGCTGCGCCTAGACTCAGCAGAGAGGAGACCTCCGCTTGTAGTGCCACTAGCAATCCCCGTACCTGAGAGCGCGCTGCCCGCACGCCCCGGAACGGCGGTGGCTTTCGGGAGAATTGCAGAGCGTAACCCCTGCGCAATGTCTTCTCCAGCCACGGATCCGTCAGTAAGCCCTGCTCCCTCCAGATGCTGTAGAAGTCTGTGAGGGGCGGAACGGGAGCTGGAACACAAGACGTCACAGCCCCGCCCTCTCCTGGTGTTCCTAGCAGGGAGGGGGGGTGGGTGAAAGGGCAGGGGGGCCCCCTGCGTCATACCGTGTGCGCCGGGGCGGTCACGTGTCCTGCAGGCCCGACGTCATAAGTACGGGCCTGCTCATGCCATGTGACTCGACTGCTCCGCCCCCCCCTGGCTCTCGCCTCATGGAGGGGGGGGGGGGCGAGCCCCTGGAGTGGGAAACCCCGTGCGAGCCTGGTAGCTCAGAGGGGCTGAGCTCACCAGATTCCTCCGCCTGACCTCTCTCTGGGAGGGCATAGTATGGATCAGAGGACCGGAGCTCGTAGCTCGTGTATTTTTTGTTGATCTCTCTGGCGTCTGTGACCTGGGGGTCACGTGATATCCCACTAGCGAAGTCCGCTAAGGGACGTAGCACCATGACGTAGAACAACAACTGATCATTGCGGGCACAAAACTGTGTAGGAGTATTTAAAGGTCACATCTCAGACACAATCCTTTCTGGTTTGACCAAAGTACCAGGAAAATAATTGTGGATCCTCATAAGTTTGCTTCATCCTTGTGTACGATGTCCAAAACCTTAAACTGGCAACATACTACTATTGAATGTGTGACAGTTTATTAATATTTAATTATTTTCACTTGTTTTGGTGGAATGACACCGGATTGACATATACATTTTAGTTGTTCACCTCTATTGTCACAGTTTGTGATGAAAACTTGAAAAACAAAATAATACAATTACGAGCTGTGGAGCAGAACATTTGAGCCAATTTACTTCAAACACATTTTAATGACATCTTAATGATTCACCCAAAAACATAAACATATGCATTTGCCCAGTTGATTTTTAACACTATAACTCCCAGAGCAGTTTATTTGATGGCTTTGTGACTTTTTAAAAACGTTATATGTAGTTTATTTGTAATTTTTAACTCCCATTCATTAGAATGTATAATTCAAATGTAGAACTTACACAAAAAACAAAAATTACAAAACATTTTTTTCAATGGCGCAGAGGTGTTGAGCCTTGTGCAGCTTTAATAACTTAGAGAAAAATCAGTGTTATAGGTGTAAATGTCAGTATGTACCATGTACCCAATGCCATGTTATGATTTCCTAATGTAACAAACTGTTTCGGTTTTCAGAGTACCAGAATATTGTAGTGAAACACAAAGACGTCCTGAAGCGCCGAAGCCAGAGTATGCTGTACTACAACACCAGACATGGAGAAAAAATCCTATTCTCTGAACACTATGTGAACCTCCTTTTGGTGGACGGACATCAGGGTTTGGACCTAAAACGGCATGAGGTGCTCACCTTTGGACATAAGCGTCTCTCTCTCCAGCACATGTCGGCTTTCCACAGAAAAATAGCACCAAAAGAACTCTTGACTTCTGGGAGTCGTTCGGTAAAGAAGGTTTTGGTGACAGGAGTGGCTGGCATCGGAAAGACAATCATGGTTCAGAAAATTCTGTTTGATTTTGGGAGGTCAAAAGAACACCTTGAGTTTGACTTCATCATCCACATGATGTTTAGAGACCTCAACCTTATTGACAAAGCGACAAACCTTCACGATTTGATTTTACGCAAAAACAGACACTTGGCTAAAGAGCTACACAACATTCTCGCCAATGACCAAAAACTGCTTTTTGTCTTGGACGGTTTTGATGAGTTTAAATATTACAAAAACTGCGATGTACATTGTTTTGTGACCGAGCCTGACGAAGACGCTGAGGTGGTGGAGATCTTCGGAAGTTTGATGCAAGGTGAACTCCTCCCGAACGCTTCTGTGCTCGTAACAAGTCGACCAAACGCCATCAACTACATCCCGGTCGAATGCATCGATCGCTTTGTCGTCATTTCTGGTTTTTCTTTGACTGAAGTTCAAGACTACTTTTCCCGCTATTTCCAAGACAAAACTCTGTCCGACCAAATGTTTGCGATCGTAGCCGCTAATGAACTGATGCTAACGCTATGCTACATACCTGCGTTTTGCTACATTGTCTGCTGCATCCTGAAGGATAACAAAGACCTGTACGGAGAAGGCCCCAAGACTATGACCGACATCTACGTGCAATATTTGGTGGCTATGCTTCGGTCTCACACCCAAACAAGAGTTGAGACTTCTGGAAGCAACGCACCTCTCTCTGAAATAGTAATAAAGCTAGGCGAATTAGCTTTCCGCAAACTCATGGACCATCAAACACTTTTCTATAGCAGCGACAAAGACGTAAAGACTTTAGAAGAATGTACACTCGTTAGCGCATTTCTTGACAAAACCATTTCCCAAGAAGCAGGTTGTATTGAAGAAGTCTACTCCTTCGCACACCTGACTGTCCAAGAGTTTTTTGCTGCTATGTATTGCGCTGTTACCGATGAACCGTTACCAAAAGGTTTGCAAAACCAAAGCACAGGTGAATGCGAAAACAACGGACACCTGGACCTTTTCAGTCGTTTTCTTTCCGGAGTCCTCTCTGAACGCAACGCAAATCTCTTGTCCAGACACGTGGGCTTGGCTTGCAAGAAAGACAAAGTGGTTGGGTATCGGCAAATCCTGATACGGAATATGACGATGCTGTGCGAAAATGGAGAAAGCATTTTAAACAATTTGCACTGTTTTGTCGAGCAGCAAGATCCTAGTCTTGGCCTTGATGTACAACCCAAGACCTTACGCATAAATGTGACTGATGAAACTCTAAACGAAATGGATTACAATGCTGTTAAATACTTTCTGAATCTCACGTATGGTGCAATAGAAGAGCTGGATCTCACTGGAACCGGACTGACCTGCAAAGGGCTAACTATCTTATATCCACATTTGATAAGATGTCAAAACTTATGGTTAGTAAATAGTCAAAAATACGTTTGTTTTCATGAGATTTTTCCTTTAATTTCTCTATCATGTATCTTGAAGGCTTGGAGATAACGCCCTGGACATGGACACAGTATGGATCATTGCAGATGTGCTCCGAAAATCAGACATTATAGAAGATTTAGGGTGAGGATTTGTTGGGTAAATCTGATGGAAATGCAAGAGACTTAAAGCCGGGGTACCTAACTTTCAAATTCCCTCTGTAATCAAATCCATCTCACGAGTTTCTTGCTCTAAAAAACGTTTGGTTCTATCACTAATTTTCACATGTATGTATTTTTGTTGCTATTCTGATTTGTTCACAAAACCTTTCTTTTAGGATATAACATGTAATACAGTATTTACGGAAAAGTCAGGTACCCCAGTGTTATTTTTTGAGAATTTGCTTTTGTAAGATATTGTAACAGCAGTATTTGTTTGTCTTTCAGTATTGGCTGGACAAACATTGGGGATGAGGAACTAGTCATTCTTTCCGATGCCATACATGAGAACCCTCAGCTTAAGGAATTGTGGTAAGAATCACGCAGAACAAGAAGAAAAATTATGCAATTTGAGGAACTGAGAATGTGTTGGCAGTGTTAATCTCCTGATCAAAGCTATGCAACAGTTTTGCTTTTACAGATATAGATTTGAATAGTTAAACGGCTTAATTTCATATTGATTGAAATTTACAGTATAACCAAAAAAATCCACTTTCATTCCCCGAAATCTGAATTGTACTTGATTGCTGCTTGATTATTGGCTGTTGTGTTGTGTTGAGTTATAGAGTGGTGAGTTTAGTATACAATAACATTATATTATTTTCTTTTTCTTAAGAAAAAAACAAACTATCGCATAGTTCCCGTGGCCCAGAGAATAGACTTTAAAGCAGCTCTCCTGGTGTACAAGTCTCTCCATGGCCTTGCACCAAAGTACATCCATGATATGCTAGTCCCATATGAACCAGCCCGGACTCTGAGGAGCGCAGGGACGGGACTCCTGTTAGTGCCCAGAGTCAGGACTAGACAGGGGGAGGCTGCTTTTCAGATTTATGCAGCTGGAGTCTGGAACGGTCTTCCTGAGGATGTGAGACTGGCTGCCTCTCTGTCAATGTTCAAATCCATGTTAAAGACTTTTCTTTTTTCCCGTGCATACAACTAGAGAATTTTATCTTTTTAACACACCTTGTTATTTATTGTTGTAAGTTTTTGTGTTTTTAACTATTTTATTGTTTTTAATTACTTGTGTGATTTTTATGTTTTTAAATTACTTATGTGATTTTAATGCTTTTTAATTACATATGTGTTTTTAATTGTATTTTAATGGTGATGATTTGTGCATTGTGTGGTGTGGACTGTGAGGCGCTTTGTGTTGCCCTGTGCAGGAAAAGCGCCCTATAAATAAAGATTGATTGATTGATTGATAGTTGATACAGTATATTAGATAATGGGAGGAACGACATTTTCAGACCCATCAGTTGAGAACCACTGATGTAGACCTCACCTTTAAATACACTCACACTGATTATCAATTATAATTTACATCCAATAATATGAATAAATAAATAGATGTCATTTCCCTTCTCACCCTCTCTCTCTCACCCAATCACTCTTTTTTTCTAATTTGTTTATTTCTAGGGTTTATGTTTTAAACTGCAAATGTCAAATACATTTTTCCTGACTTTTAGGATGGAAGGGAATAGGGTAAGCCAAAAGGGACTGCAGTTACTCACTGACTTGACTCCGAATCCTTTAAGAAGAATTGTGTAAGTGAAGATTGAATAATACTTTATTGCATCTCCGTTTCATTAATTTGTGCAACAACAGAACACAGGGACTGAACCAAGTAATCTTTTGTATGCATGCTACTTTGACTGCAGGGCATTATGGAATGACCTGGATGAGCGAGATCCGGATTCAGCCTTCAGTGTGCAGGAAAGCATTGCCACAAGCTTCACTGATGACGACATGTGGGACGGCTGGGGAGAGTGGGTCTTAAAGAGATGTGAGGTCAGCAGCAACGACAAGCTCCTCACTGTTCTGAGCAAAGTCTGCAACATCTCAGCCCACCGCCGGGAGGGCCAGTGGGCCAAAACCTTCAACGAGAACCTCAACAAACTTATCCAGAGCAGAATCGAAAGCTGCACTGAAGAAGATACTTGTAACAAACTGAAGAGGTTTCAAAGTACAATAACTTTCTGTTAGTTTACTATTACGTATGTACTTCCTGCGGCAGCTCAGGAAAGCCAAGCTGCCTGCACAGATGTTGGTGCAGTTCTACACGGCCATCATCGAGTCCATCCTCACCTCCTCCATCACCGTGCGGTTCGCTGGCGCCACTGTCAGGGACAAACAGAGACTACAGCGCATCGTGCGCTCTGCAGAGGAAGTGATCGGCCGCAGCCTTCCATCGCTGCAGGACCTGTACGTCACCCGAGCTCGAGGCCGGGCTGGTCGTATCACAGCCGACCCCTCTCACCCTGCACATGGACTATTCCAACCTCTCCCCTCAGGCAGGAGGCTGCGGTCCATCAGGACTAGAACCTCCCGCCACAAGAACAGTTGCTTCCCCTCTGCTGTTGGACTCTTGAACAATTCTTAACCTGTCCCCCCGCCCTTTATAAAGTCACTTTACTGCCCATCATACGTCACTTTACTTCACTGTACTACTGTCACCTCACATTGTGTGCACCATGTGCACTTGTATATTGTAAATAGTAACTGTAACTCTATTTTAAATTTAAATGTATACCTTAGAAGTGTTTTTTATTCTTTATTTTTATTCTTTATTTTTATTATCTTTCTCTGACTGTTGCACTGAGCCAAAGCAATTTCCAAGTCTGTGACTTCCTGTTACTTACGTGGCAATAAAAATTATTCTGATTCTGATTCTGACAGTGCCAGAATATCACACACACTGTGTATAAACATGTTGCATATTGAGCATAGAGCAATAGAAATAATTTAAGTAAAAGTAACTGACCCAAACCTGACAACACTAAATAGATAAATCATGTCTTGTTTTTTACATGATGTAAACTTGGTCTTTTACACTTTTACACTGCTTAGACTTACAACCTTAAAAAAGTGTTGATACATTTAATATTACGTGTGTATAAACATATGTATTTATTTCTGGCAAATATACTGTAGCTACTTCACCACCAGTCATACTAGTATGTCGCATGAAAATACAGATTTTCCACGACATGTAAAGACAAAAACAGAGTGGCCCGTACGGGGATCGAACCCGCGACCTTGGCGTTATTAGCACCACGCTCTAACCAACTGAGCTAACCGGCCGCTACCGTATCAACATGGGCAATGTTTTTGATAGTGAACATTTTATAACATGAAAATTACTACTGATAAAAGTCGAATATGAAAAAAACTTATCACATACGGAGACTGTCACATAGAACAACATTTAACATTCTTGTCTTTGCGGGCTGTGTTTATGTCCATTATGAACTGAAATGTATTTACCAAATAAAATATTAAATAAATCTGCTCCAATACTATGACAAACTTTATTTACATAATTTGACGAAATCCCAAAACACAAACCATAGAACCTGCGCCGCGCGACCGCCTCCTCAAGTGATGACGATTGTTTTCTGCGACAATTCGGACAGAACGGGCTAATGTTGTTGATTTAACATAAGCCCATAAAGCACATCCGTATTCCTTTTCTTTTGTTGATTTTTCAGGTGTTACTTTCGAAAATAAAGGTGAGTTATTCAGATTCGTCTTGAGTTCTATCAATAATATTCTATAAGAAATATGGACCATTTACTCCGACACCACTTGCTAACAGTTAACATGGCTAACCACAACCAATGCTATAACACGACTAGTTGATCGAGTGCAAATGACTTGTTCGTATTTGTATCATGTTCATTGGTAACTTTCAAGTAACACAGTACTCCCAGAATTCTCCTCCTAGAACTCCCTCTCATTTTGACTGCTCCCATCAATACAATACAATTTTTTTGAATCAGAATCATTTTTATTGCCACGTAAGTAATTCCCTCCAAAAATAAAAGTAATTTTACTTTTGCAGCCATCTTTTAGTTAGGGCTAAAATATATAACGTGTAATACAGGAAGGCTGTATTCCAAGCTTTATAACTTGAAAAGCTGCCAAATTCTACCTGCTGGCAAGTAAACAGTGTGTTGCTATGGTAACTAGTAATTTCTCTGGTGGAAAACTCATTTATTTTCTAGCAGGATGATTGACACAGAGAAGGGGACTTCTTCTGGGGAGAAAGCTGACCACAGTGCCATGAGTACAGACAAGGACAAGGAAAAGAAAAAGAGGTCCCGCGTTAAACAACTTCTGACAGACGTGAAGAAACAAGTGGAGTTTTGGTTCGGAGACGTCAATCTTCACAAGGACCGCTTTCTGAGGAGCCTCGTGGACGCCTCTAGTGATGGATGTAAGACATGTTGATGTCTGTAGCACTATTAAAGGGGCACTATGTAAGTTCCTTTGTGGGTGAAGTTGTGTCTCCATGGTACACATTATTACTTGCATAAATATACCTTAATTGGATTATTTTATTGAATGAAAGTTTGGTTGATGCTGTGTTTTAATCCAGTTCATGAAGAAAGCAGGTGATATGAAACTTGCATAGTTTACGTTTTGAATATTTGGAAGGTTTCTCACAAACTTTGAGTGTGGTGTGACTTCAGAATGCTTTGTCCTGGCAGATGTCGATTTATCTACGCTAGCAAGTTTTAACAGAATGAAAACTCTGACTTCTGACACCAAGCTGATCGCACGAGCACTGAAGAACTCCTCTGTAGTACAGGTACGTTGCATGTTTTGGGTCAGCTCCTGCCTAAAGTTTAGTTGTTTTTATTTCAAGCACATAATTAAAAAGTTCACAGTATGTTGAACAAAAACAGTGGCTGTAAGAGCACAGACAGTCAAACAAGTCTGTAAATGCAAGAAGGTCCTGGGTTCAGTTGTACCTCCATCTGTGGAGTTTGCATGTTTTCCCCATGGCTGCCACTATAAACATGTACAATAGGTTAGGGTTGAATGAGTATGTGTTTGTGAGTGTGACTGCACATGCAAATTAGCTACTTAGCTCCAATCTGGTGTATTTACCGCTCCGTTTCCCCCCCTCCAAAATGCATATACAAAAACACAAGATCTGCTGACATTCACTTGCTATCATGTGATCTATCATAGGATAGTAGCTACTTGAAAAGTGGAGAGAGAATTGTTTTAATGCAAGCCCAGTTGACTGCTGAGTGCTCGCCCAATTGTTTTATTCATCAGGCTGTGCAAGTCTTAGAATGATTTTTCTACATTACCAAGTTGTCCAAAATATGCATTGATAAATGATGAGTCTACCGTTAAAGCTGGGCTACGGCTATCTCACTTTCTAACCACTAAAGATGGAACTATGTGATAACAATCGGTCGAAACTATAATCACACAGAGACGCAGTGATCTTTGCCAAAGCTCGCTGGAAGTTTTTTCAGTTTCTCTCTCAGGTTTCTTCCAGGCTTTTTCAGTTTTTTCAGGTTTCTTCAGACAGAAAATATTTAGGATATGGTTTATATAGTCAACGTTTACGTCACACATACGTCATACATAGATAATCATTTGTGTCGCATCAAGAGACAATCAGAACATAACAAGACAGCAGATAAACAATCGGGTCGTTGTGACCTAAGCAAGGCCAGGTCACTTTATAGCTATCTAATTCCCATAATTAATGTAACCATTTCCAACACATGTTTTTAGCCTCTATTTAGATTTTAATACTTGTTTTTCTCCAAATGCTATCAGACAGAAAAGTTAAAAAGAATGGACCACCCAAGATAACAAGATAACACTTAAGATTAAACTTTATGGACATTGGTCATCCTGCCCAGGATCACCAAACGACTCTATGTTTGTCATTATTGCATTTGCTGTGTTTGAACTGTTTGATTCTCTGATCTGTTGAAGATGAATCAAAGACTTTGTATTGTCCTCCGTGACGACTGCGTTTATAATTTAGGTCTATGCACAAGTTTAATTGCATTGAAATGTCCTTCTTTTTTCTCTATGAAATCCTCTCGTCACTCAATTGATTATAAAACATTATCTTCTCTCAGGTCAATCTGGAAGGAAACAAAGTGAGACGCATCCATCCAATCGGAGACCCGCCTCGTGATGAAGAGAGTCGCACAGTTTATGTAGTAAGTGTTGTATCCATCCAAAAATGAAATATATCAAATCGTATTCCTCACTTTCATTCCATTTTAGGAGCTTTTACCCAAAGACGTCTCACACAACTGGATGGAACGAGTTTTCTCAAAGTGCGGGAATGTGGTTTATGTCAGTATCCCAAGATTCAAGTACACGGGGGATCCAAAGGGTTTTGCTTTTGTTGAGTTTGAGAAGGCGGAGCAAGCACAGAAGGCCATAGAGGTGAGTGACGGCTGGTCAAAGAGGGAACTGTACTGTTTTTGTCTAAAAGTAAATATGTCTAAACTAGATGCTGAATAATCCACCTGAGGATGCCCCAAGGAAGCCTGGTATTTTCCCTAAAACCTGTTCTGGGAAGAGGATACCCCTGCCTACGGAAAACCCTACAACAACAGGTAAAAATAATACACAAGGTTTCCAGGACAAATAATGACAACAACAGGTGTGTTTTCATATAAATATATATTTAAATATAGAGGGTTGCACAATGATTCTCAATTCAATTTAAATAGCATTTTTTTATGGAGGCAAAGAAGTGTTGTGAGGACAAAATGAAATCCTGGTCGGAACAGGGCTTTTCTCAGAGGAGTTTGCATCTTCTGTGTGTGTGCATTGGAAAATTTTCTTTCAGGGATAAATCTTCTTTAAAGGCTCCCATGGCCTTACTGTTGGTGGAAAAAATCTCAGATGTGAGGGTTTTGTGTATGAGGTCATCACTTTGTATACAAATACACTTTTTACAAATGGAATTATTTTGATGTTATTTTTATTCTGAACAAATGTACTTTTTAAACATGTAAGAAAATTGCAAACTGAAAATTTTATTGCAATCGCTGTGGTGGCCAGAATATTGCAATTGGATATTTTACCAAAATAATGCAGCCCTAGTCTTCTATTAGTTATTTGCTCAAATAGTAATATTAATATTCCACAATAGGTGAAGAGGAGAAGAAAAAACGCAAGAAGAAGAAAAAGAAGTCCAGTTCTTCAGCCCAGACGTCTCTGAACGAAAGTAAAGAACAGATGATGGAAGCAGAACCATCTGAACAGAAGCAGAAGTGCGACCCGGAGATGACAGTTCAGAAAACGTCGAGCAAAGAGAAGAAGAGGCGGCGATCGCAGGCGGTGGAAGCGTCTGAAGGGGAACTCCCGTCCAAAATGAGAAAGACAAACGAAAGTGCAAGTGGAGAGGGCTCAAAGGGTGGTGAGAAGTCATACTATTTTTACCATATCATTACCATATAATAATAATAATAATAATTAAAACAATTCAAGTCAATAACAACAGTCATGTAATAAAATATAATAAAACTAAAAACGGGGTAAGTTTACAACAGACAGTTTAAGGAAGGCTGTTTGATTTAAGTGCGTTTTAAAAAGTGATTTAAAAGAAGCTACTGGCCTTAGCTCCTCGGGCAGATCCCAGGATCGAAGCTCCAAGTGGTGAGAAGTTTTTACATATCATCATAATAATAATATTACCCCCTTTTTGTATGGCACTTTTCCATAACAATGTTTACAAAGTCAACATTAAACGATACAAGTTAATAAAAAAGCCATGATTATATAATATGAGATAAAAAAAAAAACTTTAAAAGTGATCAGTAAAATCCTAAAATCAATAACTATGTTATTAAATCCATGTCCGTTTGCTTCTATCATTATAGTTTTCACATTCATTGCTCTAAAGACAGTTTGGTAATCTATCACCAGTTTTTACATGTATTTGTGGCCTTTGTCACATCTGATCAGCTTTTTCAGACAGAAAAGTGAAAAAGAGAGGACCACCCTCACTCAGCTGTAATGTGCCGGTTGTGGCTGAGTCACCTAGCATTTAAACTACAAAAATGTAACAATGTAATTTAATCCACTCCATCCATCTTTTTTGGTCGCTCAATCAGTTTCCGGTTCGCAGGGGCAGCAGTTGACACAGACGCGCCCAGACCTTCCTCTCCACCGTCCCCATTTAGGGGTATTCTGAGGTCTTCCTAGGCCAGATGAGACACATAGTCGCTCCAGCCTGTCCAGGGTCTTCCCCAGTGCCTCCCCTAGCTCCTCACTCATAAAACTGTTTGGCTCTATCACTAGTTTTCACATGGATTGAAGGAGCACCTTCAATCTATAAAGACTGCATGTTCTGGTCTTCTGTCTGGACTAATTATCATTATTTATGAAACACAAGTTAGGTCTAGATTTTCAGGGTGAAATTATGTACAATAACATTTAAATTACAACATGGCATGAAATAATTTGGAATGATAATTGTGTTAAATATGTGCCACTTGTTTTTTAGATGCTCAGGTCAAAAGTATCAAAAAAGAGAGAATCAAGGATGAAAAGGAAAACCTGGACGATTCTGCCTCCAAAGCAAAAAGGAAACGAAAGAAAATGCACAAAGAGAAGCTGAAGATCGAAGAGGAAGTTATCCCACTGCGGGTGTTGCCCAAGTCAGTTTAGGTGTTTTTAAAATGTATTTATATGAAGTGGTGAATTCCCTTTGATTTGTTTTTTCCGTTTGAATAATATACAGGAAGGCGTGGCTTGAGCTGAAAGCAGAGTATTTGGTATTACAAAAACAAAGTATGGCAAGCCTGAAGAAATGCATTACCAAGATCGACCACAAGGAGCAGATGAAGGAGGTGAAGAAGGAGGTGAAGGAGGAGCAGACGGAGCAGGAGATCAAAAGAGAGATCAAATCAGAGAGGGACGATGAGGATAAGAGTGGAAGTGGTCAGTCATTACAAATTGTCCTTATAATTGCAGTGATGTCACATGTCTATAATTGTATGTGTACTTCTATTTAGTTATTATGGAAGAAGTTAAAGAAAAGCCAAAAAGACAAGCGCCACAGTTTTCCAGTGGAGTCATCCTGAAGATTACTGACACCAAGCCCTTACCGACACGGAAGTCCATCCGGGTAATGAGAAATACTTACATTTATATATTTATTCATCCCATAGTGTGACTTGTAAAACCAGGTTAAGGCTGGTCCACCCTGCTCCAATCGTTTGGGAATATTACCCCGCTGTACATTTCTTTATATGAGCTCGTATAGCTGCGGGTACGCAACTTTCAAACCACAGAAAAGACTCTAGTTTCTATCGCTCAAAACAGTTTGGTCGCTCGTTTCCACATAAGATAAGATAAGATAGAGTTTATTGATCTCACACTGGAGAAATTTACATGTCACTTTTGGCATGGATAGAATGCCTCAGATTGTGCAAAAGACAGAAGTGTGCAACATTTTAAAATTTGAAAAATATAATCTGTGCAGGATATATTTAGGCATAATACAAAAGTGGCTAAAGAAAGAATGCATGCCGTTTTGGCCCATGTCATATCTTTAGATCATTCCATTTATCTATCCATTTTCTACCCCTTAATCCATGTCTGGGTCGGGGGTGACTTGCACCCAAGTCACATAGCACCAGCCCCTCACTGATCTTCTGCAGGTGGTGAGTCCACAGGAGGACGGCTGCTCTGTACGTGTGAGCATAGTCTTGATCTTTCAGCCGGGACTTAAATCTTTAGATCCGCTTTTTGAAAAATAAAAGTGAAAAAGAAAGGACCACCCTTTCCTAGCCAATCAGCTCTCAGCCCCTAAGCGTCAAATAGTGACACTATACAATTAAAATTGGATAAGCACAGCATGTTGTGGCCTTTGACTTGTTGTCGGCAAAAGCATTATTCTCTCATTCCATTCTCATTTGTGGAGCCCAGGAAGTCTAGCGATAACTTGTGGAAGCTAATGGGGATCCAAATTATTAAATAGATAAATTCCATTTGAGACATCACACCTTTTTCATCATGTAATGTATATAAACTCTCAAAAGATGCACAACTCGGGTCTATGAATGTTGTTAGAAACCTCTCAATTCATGTGTTTGTATTTATTTAACAATATGGCAGTGAATATTCTAGGTTGGGATAGAACTTTCTGGAACGTGTGTGAATATCTTGATCAAAACTCTCTTTGGCGTTTTTTTTTTTAAACTCTGAACAAAAGGAGACTTCACCCACATTGATATTGTCATTTAGGTGTGTGGCCGAAATCAAACAGCCTACATTTATTACGTTTGTCTGTGTCTTAGGAAATCCTGTGTAAATTGTCGCCTGTGGCCTACATCGACCTGACCGAGGGCGATGTCGAGTGCCACGTCCGCTTCCACAGCCCCGAAGAGGCCAAAGCCGTGAACGACGCCAGGACCGACCTCCATAAAGAGCACAACTGGAGAACAGAGATCCTGTCAGGTACAAGACATCACCACCTACTGTGTTTATCGCCATGGAAACCGGGGCATATTTCTCTTCAATTCCATTTTCAAGTCAATTTGTTTTTGTACAGCCTTTTAAATCACAACAGTAGTTTCCATTCGCCAACACAGATCATAGAAGTTCAAACACCGGAAACACAATAATACATGTTTTTATATATCCCCACTGGTGCTCTGTCTGTTAGTGAAGTTCATGACGTATAAATAAAGTTATTTGAATTGAAAATGTATCATTGGTCCAGCTAAATGTTAGTAGTTAGTAGATCATAAATGCCGTTGAATGTCCTGGTCCTTAGAGACTCCTGCATCGGCAAGGGACTCTTAAGCACTGGGTCGGGCTGTAGGTCCAGGACTCAGGCTGTAGAACGAGCACCGAGGCCACACCATCTACTGCGCTGAGACGTGTGTGTTTGTGTGTGTGCGTGCGTGTGTGTGTGTGTGTTTAGGTGACCACGAGCAGAGATACTGGCAGAAAATCTTGGTGGATCGACAAGTGAAGCTGAACCGTCCTCGGGAGAAGAAGAGGGGAACAGAAAAGGTGAACATCGACAAGATCAAAATCAAAACGCCATTAAACCAGATTTTTAAGCCCAAAACGTAGCTGCAAAGTACTTTTCGTGGCCCCTGATATGACTTCCAGTTCTTTTTATGAACTTTTTATTAACTTGAAGAATTGATTAGAGGTTAAATGGCTATCGTGGCATGTTATATTGATCATATTGATACAAAAATGTGTATCTAGTTTTGAGCTCTTTTTGTTCAGAAAAAATATACCAGAAAGAAAAATCCAAACTTGGGTAAAATAAACAAAATGATCATTCCACAAAGAATTAAAAAACCAAAGAAGTTGTGTCCCCTGACCAGCTATCATGATTCATTTGGCCCCATGACCAAAGAGACATTGACACTGTATTTCTGGACGAGAGGAGTTAGAGCAAAACTTTTCCCATGAGCACTTCCCTGTTGGGCTTCATTCATCCCCATAGACAGACTATTGTCATATTCAACATACTTTAAAATGAACGTTTTTTTTTTTATGATGGAGAATTGGTTGCAAATCACGTTTTAATGTCTGCATTGAGAATACAAAACTGCTGTCTCTAAACAAATCATTGCAACAAAAAAATGTAAAAGTGGGGGTATTTTTATTTGCCCAAACAAAAATAGTTAAAGTTATAAAGGTTATTATAAAACATGTTTACTTTTCCATACTTGTAAAAAAAAAAAGATAAAAAAAGCCCTGTGAGTCACCATTTGATACTTTGGGCTGAGAGCTGATTGGTTATTGGTACCCTTACTTAAAGTTGTGGTGGAGGAACTTGACAGAATGAAAAATCTCTCCATTGTGAGATCAATAAAGTTTATCTTATCTTGAATAAATTACAATAACACAATTACATATGTATTGCGATTTGAAAGTTGGATACCCCAGCTTTAAATTGTACCATTTTGCGAGAGAGAGAGAGAGAATATGTATATTTGTATGTATACATTATTCCACTTAACACTTGATTTGTGCTCAATTTAAATTTTTCTTGTTCTGTTTTCCAGCTCATTTCTAAAGCAGAGAGGATCATCATGGCCAGAGCAAAAGAAGCCAACAAACACATCCGATTTGACGACTAAATCCTCGTCAGGTCTTTTTTTGTCATTTTTTATTTATCCCAAGTGTCATTAACTAGCGTCGTTTTTAATTTTGAACTGGAGATCAGAACAACTGCTTTTAGTTTGAAATCAATTCTTTTTAAGCATTCCTTTTTATTAGAGATTCTGTACATTGTGTAAATAGACGCCTTTTAAAAAAATAAAACCTCCAGTAACAATGTCAGTCAGTTTTTGTTTTTACAATAAAGACACGTTTATTTTCAGCGGTGAGTCATGTCGTGGTTTGAGAGAGACCTCAAAGGTTCTTGTTCCTGAAGCTGGAGCTCTGCGGGAGTTTGGAGTGGAGCATGCAACAACCCCTCTGGCCTTGCTCTTTCGCCGCATCGCTTCTAATCCACGTCCCTCTCCTCCTCCTGCCGCACTCAAAAACACTGTTGTCTCTGTGGTTGAAGCACTTGCTGCAGTGGTTAGCCTTGTTGGCGCACGTCGAGAAGGAAATCTGAGAGTAGCCTTTTGTCCAGTCCTTCTTGTCTGTCTGGGCTGTAGAAGGTCGCCGTGGGAGATCCCATTTCTTGAAGTCGTCCCTCATGGTCGTGGTCCCCGCAAAAGGCGCTTTGCTTTTCACCGCCGAGCTTTGGCGTCCTTGTATTATTGGCAAGGTCCTTTGCAACGGGTGCCAGATGTAGTCCGCGTGCGTCGTGGACAGGAACGTGTCTTTGTCTTTCCCGTTTCTTCCTAATTTTGCGTCCGATGTCCAGGGTCTTTGATGGTGGACCACGCCGTGACAAGGTTGGCCGAGTTGGATGCTACTGGCCTGAATGCGCGGCATGTCCAGTTTCGATCGTAGCTGCGGTGGGTGAGGAAGGTACGCCAGTTTGTAGTTGCTTTGGTTTTCCATGGGCTCATGCCCCTTGTCGACCAAATTCATTCCCTGGGTAATTTTGAAATTGTCCGGGTGTTTGTACGGCTGGCGCAAGAAGTTTGTGTTCCATGATTGATAGTCGCCTACAAGAGAGAGAGCTCAGAATGATTAACAAGTACTGTGATAATTGTCATATAGCAGGGGTCTCCAACCTCATTCCAAGCAGCCATTTCAATGAATCGCATATTTTATTTTACTTTACAATATTTAAAATGTTATGTTTGCCGCACCTACAGCTATTGTAAATATTCAACCTTGTGCTAATAAAGAGATAATAGATTGGTTTTACTTCTATGGTAGTCGAGCTTTTTAGCAAGACTGTCCTGGGTTTGAATCTTTCTGTGCAGAGTTTTCATGTTCTCAGCCCAGGTTAACTCCGGGCGCTCCGGTTTGCTTTAACGCTAAAACAAGAGCGCACCATTGGTAAAATCCTGACAGAGGGCATCTGGAGCTGGGTCGCTGTACTACAGAGACCAGTGCTCTAGAGAAAGGCCCTAGTGGCACTGGAAAGATGGGTCAAATGCAGAGGGAAAAATTCCCTACGGGTACAATAACCTATAACTTAATTATGGATATTTTATGAGACTGCTTAACATTTTTAATGGTTTCCTCAATCATTTGGCAGATCACCTTTTGAGTCAATATATCTACTTTAAGCAAGCTTGGAACTGAAATCTATCTCTGGGCTGTCTCACTTGGTTTTAGGAACTTTTTACCATCAAACTGCATCGCAACCATTTGTTTAAGGCCTATATTTACAAAAAAATAGGAGTAAAAAAACGTAAGAACAAATTGTGTGTTTTTAGAGCTCCTACCTAATGCCAATAGGGTATCTCTGTGTGGGGAAAAGGTTGGAGACCTCTGCGCTATAGTAACCGTCGGATTTTATCTTATCTTATTTACTTCTGTGCGTGGTGAGGTTGGTGTCGCCCTTCAAGCACACGGGGCAGATCTGGTCACAGCAACATTTCTTGGTGCAAGAGTCTTTGACCGAGGGCAGCTTTGAAGGGTGACTGACCCACTGCTGAGCCCCGCCGGAGGAACTGAAAAGACAGTCATAAGTTTAGTGGTTTTCTCAGGTTACCCACAATGCAATTCAAACCACTGGCATCTACTTACAGACGGAAATCTGTCTGCACTTTTATCAATTAATCCTTTAGGCGCGAAAGTAGCATGGCCTTATATGAATGAGCTAAATCTGTTGAGGCACATTTTGGTTTTGTACTAGTATTGTTATGATACTAATTATGATAAAATATAGATACTTATTGACCATTTAAATACCACAGAAATGATTCATAAATATATCTTTGTGTACAGTAAATTGATTTTTTTAAACTCAAAATAGGACTTAAGGAAACAATACATGTTCAAGAAATGTCTAATGTTGTCCAGTTTATGTAATTGTTTTTTAGTATTGATACAAAATTAGTGTCTGGTTTGGGTTATGATTCATGCCGATTCCAATTTATTCAATTCCAACCATTATTATTGGGATTGTTTTATGTATTTCACATCAAATTTCTGAAAAACATTGGCACCAAAAGGGTTAACAACATGATATGTTGTTTTCAAACACATTTCATATAACAGATAACAGTATACAGCTGTACAGGACAAAGATGAATCACTGACTATATTAGAAAAATATACAACTTTTTCCAACAAGAGATAATGGTGACACAAAATTACTAAAGCTGGAGTACCTAACTTTCAAACTATAACAGAAAAAGTCATCTCACTATAGTTAGTAGCTTTCAAAACCTTTAAGTACTATCACTCGTCTTCTCATGGGACTGCATGCATTTGGCCTCTATCACATTTATCACAGCTTTTTCAGACAAAGTGATGAAGAGAGGACCGCCTTCTCTCAGCCAATCAGCTCTCAGCCTAAAGTGTCAAATAGTGACTCACAGTAGAGGAATGTTCAGCTTGTGTCGATTAAGTTATTTGGTTCTTCTATACCAGACATATTGTAAGATGGGGATGTTATTACCTTGATATCTCACATCTGTCTGCTACAGAAGAACCAAATAAGTCACAGGGCTGTTTTGCATGTACGCCAAGATAACATGCAAAATGAAGAGTACATTTTCAAAAACAGATATCTCCAATTTTGAAAATGTGTCAAAACATTGTATTCCTCTGACAACAATCTTCCACCTGTTTTGGAATTGGCGGTAGATTTGGAAGGATTTGCTCAAGAAGGGATGAAACTTAATTTGTACTTGGTGAAGGTAGGTAATTTTTTTTTCCTAATGCCTATTTTGGCAAATTAAATAAATAAACAGACGTTACAATCACATACAATGAGTCTATTGAAACTTCATAATAATAAATCTGCTTAAAAGAGGAAAAGTACAGCTGTAACATTTTGAATATAAACATAATTTATTTGCAGACTTTACTCAAATCTGTGTCCACATAAGCCGGGGACTGGTCTAAAGCCCGTCTTACCTCATGACTGCTGGTCCCGCTCTGTCCTCCTCAGTCCGTGTGGAGGCAGAGCGTGTGGATTATCCCTTCTAACTCACTAGATCGTCGCGTCTTGAAACAACTAAATAATTTACCAAAGAAACATAGTCGTGTGTAGTGAACAAGAGCACCACACTGAGCAACCATCTAAAAATAAACACACTAGGGTTGTCAAGGCGAAGGACGCACTTACCCACCGGACCGTGCTCTTCCCACGCGTCCAACCCCGAATAAAGAGCCTGTTCTTCAATTTGTAGGCTATGATCCGGGCAGATGCGGTGTGTGAATACTTTACTTGTGAAATGCACTCGTAAACGGCTGTGTGTGAGTCACTAATGGGTGTTTTAATGTTGTGGGAAAGCTCTTTCTGCGCGACTTAAGAGCCTCCATCTGTCACTTTCCTCGTTTCTGAATACATCCCCACCACACGTGTGCACCACTTTATGTTTTTAATGTTGGAACTCGTGCATGAATCAGACCAAATCCTCCTGACCTTTGGTAAAACCTTTTATTTTAAGCCAAACGTTACGTGTGTAGGATGGTTGTAATGCAGGCGTTGGCCACTAGATGGAGACTAATACTTTCTGATGTGCGTGGATTTCCTAGATCTTTTTCCAAACTTGTACATTAAAGTTGTGAATAGTTATCGTGTATATTTGTTACATTTAAATTTGTGTTCCAAAATCCTTCTATGGACAAGCGTTAAAAACTATTGTCTTGCTATAACACGAAACACAGAATGAATATACTTATATATCTTTTTTCTTTTTTTTTTACATTTTTACTATTTCACCAAATGCCCAGTTTTTGACTTCCTGTTACTTCCAAGGAAAATAAAAATTCTGGTTCTGATTGCAATAAATAAATAAATCAACCAGTGTGCCGGGGGACGTTAGTGTTAGCCTGGAAAAATCCAGACTCACTGCTGTACCACCCGCTGGATAAAAAAATACAGAGGGGAATCATTCTGGTCTCACCAGGCTACGTTAGTGTGCCTTGAGATGTTGTATGGAGAGCCTTTATATGAGAATGACTTTTGGTGTAGATAAAAGGCTGCATAATTTCATGTTTGTCTATGTTTTAGCTGGTGGTGAACCACATGATTGTTTGCAATGAAAATTTTCTGAGTAAAAAAAGGGTTGTGGAGTAGTTTGGTAGTAATAAGAAAGGAATTTGTTGCAAAACTCCAACGTCTGGCTGGAGAGGGTTAAAGGCAGGACAAACTTTGTAGTGTACTTTCATAAACTCAGCGTCGACATGATGTTTTATTTATTTGACATTGAGGCATTGCACAGTAAATGTATTGTACAGATCGGACATAGCCACTGGTTCATTTTCATCCTGGAAGCTGGGCCTGCAAAGAATGAATAAATGGAATGGCCTAGTTCTCTCAGTGGTGATGTTTTAAGAAAAGTGGCATTAAAAGGATGGACATTTCAATACGAGGAATACACAAAATGAAATAATGTAGGGAAAGTTTGTAAGAAGCCAAGTCCTTCTCTTATGTTTCCACCTATGTTAAATAAAACTTGTTCTCATTCAAATATCATGTTATTTTTTTTTGGGTTGGAGTGCAATGTACCCATAAGTCAATGAAAACAGTACAAATTTGTCCTTTTCATTAGTTGGAACTTATTTGCTCTATTTAAGCTTGAAACAGGTGCATATCTGTATCTTGTGGCTCAAAGTTGACAGGGGAGGCTGGTGAGGCCTCCCCTGCAACCATGGAACAAAAAAGGAATAAAATTGAATCACTAACACTTCACTAATTAGCAAGTGATTTGTGTATTTCAATATAACTTTTTTATTATTAAGCTAAATGCATTGGCTTTCTGGTGGATTGCCCGTGTAGTGGATCGTACTGTTTTCTCTGTTTATCGCTGTTTATAAAGTTCAAAACATATTTCCTTAACAAACACCATGTCTACGGATTTTATGGTTATTAATATATATGTAATATATAATTAGTGGATCTAATGGTGCTTTTGACAACAATTATGGGTCTTTTTCGCGCTCAACTTAATCCATGGCTCAACCATGACTTGAAAAATCCCCAAGGGAGGGGGCGATCGTGAGCCCAGGATTCGACTGCATCCAAATCCACCAGAAATGCTCCTTACTTGCTTTTCCTCTGATGAGGGCAGCTACAGGTTTGACCAACATACATGTAAAACATTTAAGTTGTTTTAAAAGCCTTTTAGGCCAAGAATATGGTTCCAATGACGATAGGATGGAGAAGGATGGGAAGAGAAGGGTAAGGGGGTTTGTTTAAGAAATTGGATGCACCCAAGAGTTGGCTGCACACAGCCAGCAAAACACGAGAGAAGACACCAATTTGTTTTTACTTTTTAAAGTTCAACTGTTATTTACAAATGTCTACATATCTACACTCAATGTATTCCCTGCACTTAAAAATGAAGCTGGTCTGAACCGAAGTGGTGTATGAAGTTCATTTATAAGGTAAGACCCATTACACACTTTTAAATGTGCTTTTTACAAACATTTGTGTTTTATATGAGCAAACATGTTTCCCCTGTTTCCAAACAAATTGTGAAAAAGCAGCTCTGTAGGTCCCAATCAGATATATAAATCTGATTGGGATGAAGTCAGTGCCTCACCATCGTCACTGTCGAGGTGACTGCCAGGTACAATCATTATAAATTGTACCTATAAAAACACTACATTTATCCTGAGCATGCCAATTTTTCTAACAATGTACTACTAGAAATTTGCAACGTATTTTTAACCCCAGAAAAAATTAAGAAAATGCCTTTTCTATTATATTTCATGATGAGTCACAGATTTTTGCTATTTATTTTGTTTCAAGTCAACGCATTCACACTCAACAGATTGGTGCTTTCTGTTACAGTTCCCAGAAAGAAATCCTAAAGCAGAGGCAGGAGACTGAAGAAGTTTGACAAGTTTCTTTACAACACAAGCAGGCAGTTGAGAAGGCGATGGGGATGGGGAGCAGATCGACATGGAGCTGGAGCATGGACAGGAGGCCGAGAGCCGAACTGGAGAGACGCAGGGACCAGACAAAACCGGATCTGAACAGACGAGAGAAATGAGTATAAAGAAACCCCCAAAACACAGGTGAGACCTAAATAACACAAGAGCTGGACGGACAACAGACTGAAAAAAAAACTTTATTGTCCCAAGGGAAATTTGCTGTAGGATACATGCAAAATAGGAGGGGAGGGGGGGCATAAACAATCGAACCTAGCAGCATTCTATATTGCTGGCCTATCTCTGGCCTATATTTCTCTCCTGTCTCTCTCTCACTCTGATCTCTTTGGTCCTTAGTCTCTCTCTGGTCCTCTCACTCTGGCATCTTTTTTCGGCCTCTCTCTGGTCTCTCCCTATCTGATCTCTCTGGTCCTCTCTCTCTTGCCTCTTCTTATTGGCTTCTCTCTGGTCTCTCTCTCTCTGATCTCTTTGGTCTCTCTCTGTCCCTCTCTGTTCCTCTCTCTCTGGCTTCTGTTTTTTGGCCTGTCTCTAGTCTCTCTGGTTTCTCTCTGGTCTCTCTCTGGTCTTTCTCTGGCCGCTCTATTTTGGCTTGTCTCTAGTCTCTCTCTGGTCTCTCTCTGGTTCCTCTCTAGTTTCTCTCTGGTTTCTCTCTGGTTTCTTTCTGGTTTCTTTCTGGTCTCTCTCTGGTTTCTCTCTAGTCTCTCTCTGGTCTCTCTCTGGTTTCTCTCTAGTTTCTCTCTGGTTTCTCTCTAGTCTCTCTCTGGTCTCTCTCTGGTTTCTCTCTAGTTTCTCTCTGGTTTCTCTCTAGTCTCTCTCTGGTCTCTCTCTGGTTTCTCTCTAGTTTCTCTCTGGTTTCTCTCTGGTTTATTTCTGGTCTCTCTCTGGTTTATCTCTAGTCTCTCTCTGGTCTCTCTCTCTGGTTTCTCTCTAGTTTCTCTCTAGTCTCTCTCTGGTCTCTCTCTGGTTTCTCTCTAGTTTCTCTCTGGTTTCTCTCTGGTTTATTTCTGGTCTCTCTCTGGTTTCTCTCTAGTCTCTCTCTGGTCTCTCTCTGGTTTCTCGCTAGTTTCTCTCTGGTTTCTCTCTGGTTTCTTTCTGGTCTCTCTCTGGTCTCTTTCTGGTTTCTCTCTATTCTCTCTCTGGTTTCTCTCTGGTTTCTCTCTAGTCTCTCTCTGGTTTCTCTCTAGTCTCTCTCTGGTTTCTCTCTAGTCTCTCTCTGGTCTCTCTCTGGTTTCTCTCTAGTTTCTCTCTGGTTTCTCTCTGGTTTCTTTCTGGTCTCTCTCTGGTCTCTCTCTGGTTTCTCTCATGTCTCTCTCTGGTCTCTCTCTGGTTTCTCTCTAGTTTCTCTTTGGTTTCTCTCTGGTCTCCCTCTGGTCTCCCTCTGGTCTCCCTCTCTGGTCTCAGACAGGGGATCCTAACACTTTGCCCCAGGACACCACACCCCCCACATAAGACCATGGGGCAGATGGCTCGTCCTGTCCTCATGTGTCGTCATCCTTCAGACAGATCTTATTGTGTTCTATCTTTTGTAGGATGTCATTATATACAATACCAGAAACCATTTCCAATGCAACAGCTTTCTCCTGATTCCATTGTTATTCAAATGCAAAGCAGATATCGGATCACACTTTCTTATGTCTGTCTGCTGCACTTGTGTTTATGGGAGAGATCATTTCCGTGCTTTTGTGAATGAGTTATTAAGTTATTATAAAGCGGTCTGCTTTCACCGCTGCTGCTGTTATTGTTTGTTGTGGAAGGCAAGATCAACATGTCTGATCTCTCTGTATTAGCAGTTATTGGTATTCATCACATCTGCTTTGTGTTTGTCATCCAATATATGAAAAGTTAATAAATGGATAGATGGGCACCGTGCTTCTTAAAGGTGATGCATAAAAATAATTTACAGTATATTGCAGACCATGGGACACTGAAGGTACTTGTATGTTCTGTAAGTATTTCCAACAATAACATATTTTTATTGGTATACTATGAGCATTAATATTTGCTGGAAGAGAACCAA